ATATATCTGATTATGGCTAACAATAAACTAAATAATTATTTTTGTGATTGACGTAAACACATTTTTATATGTAAAACATAGTTTTTTGTATATTTTTAAATATTAAAAAACAACTTTTCTATCAACAAAATTAATTTTATAAATAAAAAAAATATTCTCTTTTGTTTCCATACATATTATATATAACATCGAACTTTATGTTCAATATTTATACAATTTTTTATAAAAATTTATTGATTTTGTTTGAAACTCAACTAAATGTAAGGCTTTTGTTTTGTTAATAAACATCTAAAAAAATCAAACACAAATTTTTCAATACATTATGATAATAATCCACACACACACACACACACACAGAGAGAGAGAGAGAGAGAGAGAGAGAGAGAGAGAGAGAGAGAGAGAGAGAGTTGGCGTTATTCCCAAACAAATTGAAACTAAATTAAAAGATAAAATCCATGTTAAATATGATAAGTATTAAATCTAGATATATAGTATGTGGGATCATAGAGTATGAATAACTAGAGTGACCAAATTATATTATATTTAGAGTTTAGAATAATAACATATAGAATATATAGAAATAAAACAATTTTTTCATGAGTAACATATTTGAATATAAATTTATTAATAAATTGAGATATATAATAATTATTTAAAAAACACACAACATTTTTACCCTTTTTCCACATATGCTCTACTATTTAATATCACACGCTATATGTCTAAGTGTAATACTGACTGTTATATAACTCGTGTGACACATATTGTGTCTCTCAGGGATTTTTCAGTCAGTCGTCTATTTTTGAAAGTTTTAATAATATTTATATTGTGTTTAACACTACTGTAGTTCAGTACTACTACTACTAATAATAATAATACCAGTCCTCAACTACTAATAACACAGACACCCGATGCCCAATGAGAGTGATTAACTCATGGCTTAATTTGACATCTGTTGTTATCTTGTATTACCTAATCATTGACTACAAGAGACTGATAATTAAATTATTAGTATTTTTAGTATTTTTTTAATTATTCAATTTTTGTTAATAATAAATTTAGTTAACACATTGTAATAATTAATTTAATTAAATTTTTGTAAAACAGTTGTCTATACAGTATATACTGTATATATATAGTCTGTAATGTTATTATAATTAATTGGTTACTTGACTTTAAAAATTATTTTATGCATCAGGAGATTACTGTTATAAACTGATGTATTTTACAAATAGAAATATGCAAATTAAATTCATAGGGATGTTTAAAAATTATTTTTGTTATTAAATAAATATAATTAAAAATTTAATCATTTTTAAGAATAATATATATATATATATATATATAACATACTCAAGTTTACGAAAAAAACATTATTACACAAATAAAGCACTTATAGTACAGTATAATAGTCGTGACAAATATATGGGAATTATTTTTAAGTAAAGACGACAACAACAAAATCAAAAGTAAACTTTTGACAGATAAGTATAGATTTTTTTTGAAATTTGATTACAAATATCGAGAGTAGTATTGTATGAGACAAACGATGACAACAACAACACCAGTCACTGGGTTTTCGGCCGCTTTTTCATAAGATTTTTGGTTTGGTTTTATCCAACAACAAAAAATTAAATAAAGACAAACACATACACAAAGTTTAATGTTAAATGACTGAAACACTTGTGATTAGATTAGAGAGAGAGAGAGAGAGAGAGAGAGAGAGAGAGAGAGAAACGGCACCATAAATAAATCAGCCACTAGTCGACCAACAAATGTATAACTTAAACATATATATATATATATATATATATATATATATATATATATATATATATATATATATATATATATATGTTTAAGTATATATATGGATGACCAACAAGATATATACGATAATAAGTATTGGATAATCTTTGACATTTAATTGTGATAATTAATTTTTTTATATATAATTGCATTAGTCTCTGATTAAACCTAAATTATTTCTAAGTTTTATATTTTCTAAAGCATTTTCCTAAATTAATTATTTGTGTGTATTAGTTGAAATTGTTGGAAATGTAAGATTTAAATCTGCTTTTATATTATTGGTTATTATTATACAATATAGTTATTTCTGTGTTAATTAATATTTAAATGTATTGATTAAAAACATTATTTAATTTATTTTACTGATTATATTTTTATTTTCAATAAATGTCGCTACAATTAATGGCGCCAACTATTATACGCTTTAATTACAGTATTTTATGCTAATTTAGTAAAAATAATAAATTAATAATATTAATAATAATAATAATATCTTTTTGTGTTTAAAGTTTTTATTGAAATTTATAATATTGTCAACAAAATGTATAATATAAAACAATAAATTTAGTTTATAATAAATATAAATAAACCAGTTAAGAATGCTAGAAAGCATTATTAGAAAAAAAACTTGAATATCATAAATATGTTGAAACCAAATAGTTGGTATAATTATATAGTATTAATTTATATAGTAACAAAAAATAAAAAACTGGTAAAATATACATAATTTAAATAATGTTATGTAGGTTATCAAATGACTCGGTATGACAAACAAAACTCAACTATAGTCATGTAGGGTATAAAATGACTCGGTATGACAAAATAAACTCAACCATAGTCATGTAGGGTATCAAATGACTCGGTATGACAAAATAAACTCAACCATAGTCATGTAGGGTATCAAATGACTCGGTATGACAAAACAAACTCAACCATAGTCATGTAGAGTATCAGATGATTAATATAATGAAATAAACAAATATAATCATGTTTGGTATTAAATGATTTAGTATAACAAAATAAACAGTTAAAATCATACTTTTGCTGCCATTTTTTGAAAAAATAATATAATTTTGATCTATTATATCTTATTTTTAATACTATATACAATTCTAAGCGCTAAAATTTACCTTAATTTTTTATACATGTCACCATTTTTTTTAAAAAAATAATTTTAATTTATTATATCTTATTTTTGATGCTCTATACAATTCTAAACGTTAAAATTTTTACCTAAATTTTTTTTTTATTTTGGCCGCCATTTTCTCTATGTTCCTGAAGAGATATCAAAATTTTAATGCATATTTTTATGCTTGCTTTTGATGCTCTATTCAAATTTATACTTAAAATATTTTTTCTTAAAATTTTCTTTACTTTGGCCGCCATTTTCTATATGATCCCGAAGAGATATCAAAATTTTAATGCATATTTTTATGCTTGCTTTTGATGCTCTATTCAAATTTATACTTAAAATATTTTTTCTTAAAATTTTCTTTACTTTGGCCGCCATTTTCTATATGATCCCGAAGAGATATCAAAATTTTAATGCAACTTTTCAATACATTATTAGTAGTCCTCTAACCGAATCTGAAGTCAGAATTTCAAAATTAGCAAAAAAATTGCTACACACACACACACACACACACAAAAAGGCTCGTATAGATTTCAGAAAACAAAACTTTTCAAGTTTTTTTTGAAAATTGTTTTCAATTAATTAATTTTAAGTTGGATTAAATAAAAGATACTTTTTCTATGTTGTCGTAAGACATTTGCATTTAATATGAAGTTAATTAATTGGGAAATCTCAACAAAATATGTTTTATATAACTATTATTATTATTATTATTATTATATAAATTTATATATTAGATCCTAATATAAATATTAGACTATTTTTTATAATAAAAATATACTTAAGTATTCTAAGACATAGGGATTAATTATATTAGAAATTTAATTTATGCAATGCATGTATATAAACATATAATAATATCAATTTTTTTATTAATTAATTAATTAAATAAATTAAGTTATTATTAATCTGCATACATAAATTTTGAAAAATAATATAAAAGTAATATACTAGATATTAACAAAACTATTATTTATTAACAAAACTATTGATAATATAATATTTTAATTTTTAATTCATAAATTTATCATTATTATTAATATATTATTAATATTAATAGTATTAATAATAGTACAGTAATTTAGTATATAATAATTTAGATTTAATAATTAAGTAAAATGCTAATTATTATTTTTTTTCAATTAAAAAATCACAGAATAATCTTTACTAACAATTAAAATATACAGATATTTGTTGGCAAAATGCTTTAAGCAGTACTAAACATAAGGCATAAGTTTTGTATTAATTATATTCACTGATCATATCTTACATTTGTTATGATATTAAAATAAATTTTATAATTTAAATATTTTTTTTAAATACGTGTTAATGACTTTTTCATGTTTGTCATTTATTATAAATATGCAAATATTATACGAAAATATTAATTTTAGACAAATTGATTTATATTATCAATGTTTATTTGAGATATAATTATTTAAATAAAAAAATATAAAATATATTTATAATAATTTAACATTGCACTTTATTTATTTAGTTTAAAAATTTCATGTAAAATAAATATTTTATTTTAATTAAAAAAATAATATTAATAATATATATTATATTAAAAATAATTTTTTAAATTAAAAAATATATATATTTTTAGTACATTTTTTAGACAACGTTTTTTAGACAATTATAAGAAATTAATAAAAAAATTATAATTTATAAAAATTATTGTAATATAAATCAATAAAATGTTTATACAATACAATAGTGTTTATTAACTTAATTTATATTTTAAAAAAAAAGTTTTATATATATATGCAATATGTTTGCCATCTATTGGTTGACTATTAGACAAAAAATAGTGTTTGAATTACGTTATCATTTGTTTATTATATAGTTATTTGTACTGTAATTATAGTTTAAATATTTATTTTAGTTTTTCAAAACACATCTTTACTTTTACTACTATTTTGATATAGAAATAGCTGTCAATTGAATTGTTTATCAAAATTTATTTTCATTTATTATTACATTAATTGAGCGTTTGTTTTGTTTTGAGACAACAGTTATATTAATATTAATAATAATAATAAAAAATACGTTTAAAATATCATTGGATTGACTGTCAAATCAATTGTTGTTTTATTTCTTTATAAAAACACGTGTTTTTTGTGGACAACATTTTAATCGGTAAATATTTTTTTGTTTACAGACGACTACACGAAAATTGTTTGACAATAACTGAATTATCGGTAATTTTTTTATGTCTATTATTTATCAGATGATAATGACATCCACGACGACGACGACGAAGATATCGATGGACTCGTCGGCGATGCCGACAACCCCTATCCGAAACACTTCTCAATTGGACAGACAATCGATGAGACAGAGTTTGGCCACCAGTCCGCGTAGTCCGTCGGCGGTCAACGATTCTTATCTCTACGAAAACGACTCAATCGAGAGGCCATACCTTCCCGAGTGTTGGACAGATACCAAACGCATGACATCGTTGATGGCTCCGTTCAGAGCCCGTGAGGCCAATCCGGAGGGCTGGGACTTGAAGATGAACTTTTGGATCAATTGTATTACCCGATGGTCATTGCAAACACATTCTGTGGTCTTCAATGTGGCCGACGTTACGAAAGCCTTTGAAAGAGGAGGCAAACGGCCGGACATTCAATGTTTACAACTGGTGTTCAGTCATTTGAAACGAAACAAAAGTGTTGTCTCATTGCACGATCTGAAGAGCAATCAATACAACAGCAGTTCATCCAAGAGTTGGATTAATTGGGGTTTTAGTACATTAGTGGTCAAACCGATTAGTTTTGGTCTGTCGATTGTCTCGAGCGGCGACAAAGATAGCGATGTATGCGAAGTTATTTTACCAGAAATCAGTTCCGACAGTAAACTAGTATTGAATGAATCACTGAAAGTGATGTCCGAAGAGATGAACAAATATCTAACGAATTTAGAAGACATCGATTGTATTCGTTTTGATAATCTTTTTAATAAATGCAAAAACAAGTTAAACATCGATTTGGAAACATTTTCGGTGATTATTAGCCAATTGGAGGCCAATAATAAACTCAAGATATTTGTCGAGAGTGGCATCAAAATTGTAAAAATCGGGAAAAACAGTGTAATCAGTGAATCGGACATCGGATTGATACGGTTGGAAACGGCCAAAGAGCTGCTCGAGTCCGAGATTGACAAACTTGAGTCGGAAATCGAGTCCATCAAAGACGAGGCCCGCGTTTGTGTCCGAAACAAAAATCGCGAGAAAGCCGTTATTTTGTTGCGACGCAAGAAGAGAGTGGAAGACAAACTCGGAAAGAAAGTGATTCAATTGGATAACGTGGACCTACTTATTGATCAATTAATGAACTCGAGTTCGCACAATATGCTTGTTCAGGCCTTCCAGAGAGCTAACGAAGCGCTAAAATTGGCCAATAATAGCCAGGATGACATCGAAAACACAATGAACGACGTCGAAGAAACTATCGAAACAGTCAACGAAATGGTCGCCGATGTTAGTCGACCACTGGTTGGTCAACCGATCGATGACGACATTGAAGAAGAGTTGGACGATCTGCTCAATGAGCTCAACGCTAGCGAACAACAGTCGAACAGTCAGTTATCAAAGCCGACGAAAATTATTGATAAAACCAAAGATGAAGAATTGGTTAACATTTTGAATAATTTGTCAGTTAATGATCAGTCAATTAATGAGTCCATTGAAGATACAGACAAACTACCAGTTTCTTTGGCAGCTAATTAACAGCCATTTATTATTGGTTTATGTTATTACTATTTATATATATATATATTATTGATAATTATGAGGTTTGAATGCATTTTTTAAAAGAACATTTTTTAATAGTTAATATTTCTATTATTATAAAATAAATTTGTATATTTTCAACGGCCAACTTAAAAATGTTTATATAATTTTGTGTTTTTTAAAAAAAATATTTGTTTTATTAATTTTTAATCATTTATAAATTATTGAATATTTTTAACTCTCTTTTTTTAAGTGCCTTACAAAAATGTTGTTAATATGCACTAATATTTGTTTTTTTAAATATATAAATTTTTTAATTGTAATAAATTGAAATAATTTTATTAAATATCTAGAATATATGCAAAGTATGGTATATCTGTTTGTTAATATTGTTTATAATTATTATTAAACTTATTTACTCATATAGTATACTGTACTATATTATGTTCTGTATAATAATATATATATATCATTTTATATATCATTATTATACTGTATATCATAATTATATTATAATATCACTATTACATATTAGTATATCCTTAATAAACAACTAACTCTAATATTGTCACAAATAATTTCCAAAAAAATAGTACCAAAATCCTAATCTCTGTGTTATTAAAGCCACTAAAACTGTTAGCAATATTTCATAATTGATATATTTCTTAATAAATTAAATACTTAATTATGAATTTGATAAATTGAATGTTTTGTGTGGCAACGATTTGACCATTTAATTGTTGGCCAAACTTAGTTAATCTCTATATAAAAAGCTATATAATGTTTATCATTAAGTGATGTTTAGATGCGAGGGTTAATATAGATAAAAAACAAACTATATATTAGTTTTAAGTAATTTAATATTTTTTCTATATTACCAATAAGTTTAAAATATAATTAAGAACTGATTATAATTTAAAGTACAATACAAAACGTATTATGCAATATAATACATGACAAATTTTGCATACAAACAAAATTTAGCGCCACCCAGTGTCAAAAGCATTGATATAATAAAAGTAAACCTTGTTTTAAAATAAATATAGATTTAGTAATAATTTTTTTATTGAATTTATATTATTTATTTTAAATTATTTTTTTGTTATTTAAAAACTACGATTATTATAGAAATAATGCATTTTCTATCAATTATATTTCTACTATATATTTTTAATAAATTTTTCAACATATTATATATTAGTTTTTTAAATTCTAGAATACAAACACTACAATGTATTATACAAAATGTAAATTCAAAACCCTGTATATTTCCAACACTGATATTGAGTATACAATAATTTATATAATAAATATGTTTAATAATTTTCTTTTCTTTTTATATTTTAAGCTTTAATCTAAACCAAACTAAACAATGTTGAATTCAATAGAAATTGTATAAATAAAATGCAAAAAGTATTGACTGTTAAGCCTATTAAAGTAAATAAATTTATCTCACTTTAGCTTTTAATTAACTAAGTCGTCAAACAAACTGAAATTGATTGCAAAAAACAAAATCAAAATTTAATCAATTTTTTTCAAAAACCACATTTTATAAGTATTTATATATTTATTAGTGACTCTAAAGATTTTTTTAAATATCTAATTTTAAATAGATTACTAAAGTATTTAAATTCATTTTTATTGTATTATTTTAATATGTTTATCAAATCATATGTTTTTTGTCATTTATTTCGACAAAAGCTTCTTACAAATAAAAATAAAATAAAAAGCATTATTTAAAAAGCATTTACTATTTATGACTTAATTTCATTGCATATTAATGTACATACAGTTACTTTCTATTAAAAAAAACTAAAACTTTCTATTCTATTGTATTGTATATATATATATACAGTATATACCGGTATATATTATAATATTAGTAAAATTTTATACATTACCGATATGTCCTAAAACATTTCAACTAATTAAATATAATAATATATATATATTGTATATATATATAAATTATTTGGTTTGTATATAATTTATATATATTCATAAGCCAAATTGCCTTTAGACACTGCATAAATTTATATTAAAGATAATGTATTATCAAATATAAGTAAACGAAATTAAATTATAAAACAATAAATTGGATTAGTTTATCTATTGTGAAAATAATAATAATTCTTATTTAATTATATAATTAATTAGCAAAATTTATTATTAATATATGTAGAAATAGAAACAAAAACAGATTCAAGTAGTGATAAAGAGAAAACAAAACTTAAAGAAATTATTCAATAAATAAAAGTAACGATGAATAAGGTCTATGATGTGCAACACATTTTAAGGAATAGTGTTCTCTATTTAATCTAGTTTTAGGTAAAAATTCAGGAAAATTTCTCGAAAATTTTTTATTGACAAAAAAGTTATCGAAACTGTATACCATATTTTATATTATATTATAACTTATTTAATATTTACTGTAGTTTCATTAAGCTATATTCTATTATTTAGTAAGTCTATACAATTAATTTTATATATATATATATATATATATATATATATATTGGATATTCATTAGGGATATCTGAGAGATTGATGATATGATTATTGATGACAATAGCACAGTAGACATCACTTAATCAGCGATTTGATTGTCAATTGGGTCACAGTTTTAATCTATAATATTACTAAAAGTTTTTCAAAGTAGATTAATGCAAATTAATATTATTATGTGATTGTGTCATAATGTATTTATTTATTTTTTTTGAATTATTTATTTTATTATAATTAGTTATTTATTGAGAATTTCATAAGTCAAGACATTTTCTAGTTTAAAATTAAAGAAAACTTTTTTTTAATTTCAAAAACTTTATAGAAATATTATCTGTATTATACAAATGAAAAACATTTATTCAGCAAACTCTAGTGTCCAATAGGGATGTCATGTCGACAAACCATTAATAGTAAAATACTGTATACAAAGTGAGAGAGAGTAGAACTATAGATACATTAGTAGTGGAGAGGAAAGAGTCTAAAAGTCAATATAGTAGTCAAAAGTATATAATATAAGAATATTCTGTGAGTTGATGTGTTTGCTAACGATTTTATTGGCAAACTATAAGCAAATAATAACCCTAACAATAGTCACAAAAGTATTAATACCGGAATTGTATACAATTTTATATAGTGTTTGTAATTAATTTTATAATTAATTATATCATTTTCATTAAGTCTATAATTATATATTCTGTTAATTTTAACAGACAGTTGTGACAGTTATGTTAACAAGTTTTATTATAATTAAATTTTAACAATTAATAAAAATAACGTTATAATTATTTTCAATGTTTTAGTTTTATATAATAAAATAATTAGATAATATATAATTTTTAAATAAAGATATATATCTGTATAAATCTGCTTAAAGTACATAATTTATTAATAATAAAAATATTTATAAAATTATAATAATAATTATAATGAGAAAGTTTTATATGTTGTTTCTATAAAATACTGCAAAAAAATATACAACAGTAATGTTTAATATCTATTACATTATTGAATTACCATAGTTTGAACAACAATATTGATATCATTTTTAAAACTATATATAATTTTTATAAATTTAAATATTTTGAATTTGACAAACAATAAAAAAAGATGTATGGATTAATATTAGAAAACATACATCAATATACGTGCAACAAATATGGCACTGATGTCTGGGATGAAATTAGACGACTGGCCAACATCAAGGAACCGACGTTTTCCATACATAAAATATATCCCGAAACATATGTACCACGAATTACTGCTCACGCTATGCAGGTATTTATTAATGTTGTTTTATTTATTTAAAAAATTATTTATCATCATTTTAATCAATAATTTTTTAAATAAAATCATAATTTTAAATGTTTAGCTAATTTTATTAAGTATTTTTGTTATTTATTTATTTTATTATTATTATTATCAATATAGATTTGTTACTTAGTTAAATTACTGGAAATTATGTTATAAATTATGATAAATATTAGATATTTAAAAGATAGTTATTTAGTGTTTAGTAGATCACACACATTGATAGAAATATAACATATAAATACAATTATTATTAATGCATACTATATTTTTTGCTGTTGTTGTTGTACCGGTATTTAATATAATCTGGAAGTAATAAATATTTATAATTTAATGTTAAGTATATTTTCATATAAGCATTAAAAGCAGTGTTAGAATCTATGTAACAAACAAATGAATTATTTATATATTAAATCGAAAATATATAAACATTTTATTTTTGTTTCTTTAGATAATAACCATTATTGACATATGATTTGTCAAATATTGAGATTAATTATCACAAACATTAAAATAATAGATTATTATGTTATTATGTCAATTGAGAAAATTTGATTATTAGTTAGTAAAAATTGTTCAGATATTAAAATAATATACATAGATTTATAAATATTTAATAATATTATAATAATATATAAATACTGATATATATACTGTATTAATAGTTTAGAATAAAAAATAATTAATTTATAAAATGCTGTATATTAAAATAAATATTTGTTAAATAAATTGTTTTTATTACGATACTGTGTTGTGTTAAAATTTTATTAAGATAATTAAATAAAAGTTTTAAACAGTTATAGATAAGCAACAATTGAGATTTTTAAAATTAAATTTTATTAAATAATTATATTAATATTTAACGAATAAATTTATATATGTATAAATAAATACAGTATAAATTAATATTGTTTTAAACAAATGCTATCTAACTAACTATAAAATCACTTTTTAACACTAATTATTCATAATTAAGTATTTTTTTTTTAAATAACTCAATAAAATTTAATTATCGCTAAATTGTTTTTATCGATTACTTGTAAAACACGAGGAAAAATTATAGATAAATATAATATTATAAAGATAATAAACACTATTATAATTATAAAAAATATTTAAAATAAAACTAATTTTCAAGTTTAAGTATTTAATCTACCCTTGTAAAAAAAATTGTATAATTATACAATTATTAAATCTGAATACTGTTTAAATAAAAAATAATTATAATGTTTGCTTGATTTTTTTTTTAAATATTAAAACCAATATGCAATATATTTTTTTACCAATAATACATAAAATAAAAATAAATTTTAAAACTAATCACTTTATTACAATAAATTTATAATTACAACAAAAAATAATAATTTTAATTGAATTTATTATAGTATCTATATATTATTTGCTTAATCTTAAGATAATATTATCGCTATTTTGATAAAATACATCCTAGAAATTATCCACAAAAAAATATTAATGTAATTATAATTAAAACAAATAATTGTTAGCTAAAGTCAAAAATTCTGTTTAATCTAAGTCTCTATCAATTCTCATGAGATTTTCAATATATAACACTTTGAACTTTTGTTTAGTTTGTCTGAACTAAATAAATCAATTTATCTTATTTCAAGCAATTTGACCCCAACTACAACAACAACAATAGCAACAATAACTGTTATGTTTTTAATTTAATGTGTTAATTATGTTCAACAAAAAATTAACACTATTTAAAAATTAATACTAAATAGAAATAGAAATCTTATCTAAATTAATACATACTGGTAATTATAATTAAAGGGTTTTTTTTAAATTATTTAAATTTTTATCATTATTTCTAATTAGATGTATAAGATAATTTTTATATTTTAACCATAAGAATACATTACTTGTTTTCATATTAAAAACAAATAATAATTATCAAATTTGATCAAGGTCAGTAATAATATTAATAATGACTATTTTTGTTGATTAAACTTATTATTGTCAGGTATTGGGAATAACTGAAAGAGAATATCTCTATAACATTGGTATCTCATTTGTATCAATGGTTGGCGCTTATGGTTATGACAAAGTATTATCAGTATTGGGTCAGTAGTTGTGATATATATATAATCATTGGGTTGACATTGATTGATGTCATTTTTTTAAGTAGTAAATATGACTATCAAGTTATCTGTTTTTTTATATATTCATCTAATAGGCCGACACTTTAGGGATTTTCTCAATGGTTTGGATAACTTACACGAATACTTACGGTTCAGTTATCCTAAACTAAAGCCTCCGTCATATTTTGTGAACAACGAGACTGATAAAGGAATGACACTTCACTACCGATCCAAACGACAGTACTTTCTATGGTATACTATCGGCCAGATTGAAGAAGTTGGCCGTCATTTCTATCAGACAAATGTCACCACAGATATTGTTACCGAAAGCTATGAAAATAATGAATATTATTATGTATTACAACTTTCGTTTGATAACAAAGGATACAATGATTGGCAACTGGTGTCCAACAGTAGGGTTGACACCCAGTCCTCTATATCGCAGTTACCATTAAGGGCTAACACTTTGCTCCAGATATTCCCGTTTTGTATTGTCTTTAATATTAATCTAACCATAAAAGCGGTCGGAGGTTGCCTTCAAGTATGACTATACTTTTTTTTAACTGTTTGGCATAAATAAACAATTAACCCATAATTTCAACATATAATTCACTTTTTCATCCCATTCCTCATCCAAAATAATATATCTAATTATTAAAGCAGATAATAAAAAATCATGATTTGTTATAAACAATATATTTTTTAAAAGGCATTAGCGTTTTTTGCCACTTATAGTAATTTATTAATTAATGATTTTTAAAATTTTTTGTACAGTGCTTATATTATAGTATAGTACAGTATATACTACTTATAATCAATATAAAAATTATAACTTATAGTCAAAACAAATTAACAAATTAGTTTTTTTTAATTATTTGATACAATAATTATAATTATTAATATATGATTTATACATTACATAATAACAAAAAACATATTTTTTATATTTGTAGGTTGTTTTACCCAATCTTGTAGGCAATGAATTGCCTAAAGTTTTTAAAATTTTAAAACCAAAGGTTGGCTATAATTGGTTTTCTGTAAGTTTTGTTATTTAATCAATATTTATTTTATAAAAAAAACTATAATTTTTTAAAAATAAAATAATAATGATAATAATTTTGAGTATTTTAATGCATGTATTTTATAACATATAATAACAGAAAATAAGTACATTGAGATTTTAATGTTTTATATAAACTTTTATAGATAAATATATATATATATATATAAAGTTAGATAAACAAATAGTGGTTAATCAACAACAAAAAAGTATTGATATACTGCTTACTGTATAAATAATACTCGTATTATATATAAAAACATATAATTTATTTTCAATTGATCTTTTAATGTTGTAATACAATGCCAGATATCGGGTCATTTGAACACAACCTTTGAATTGGCGTCAATTCAACCCTTAAAAAGGGATACATCTAAACATAATTTAGATTTTAAATGCGATATAAACTCGAGTGAAGATAATACCAATGATAGCATTGATAGCAATGAATGTAAGCATTAGTTTGTTTGTTAAATCTTTTTAATACTACAGTACTTTCATTGTTTTGTGTAATAATAATAATAATAATAATAAAATAACATACAATATTATAATTTATGTTTTCATTTTAATATTACTATGTATTTAAGTATTATTATTATTATTATATATATATATGTAATTTACATTTTTTATTGAAGTTGTTATACTTTAATATAAGAGAAAAAATTAAACTTTTTTTTAGGTCATGAATACTTGCTTAAACTTAAAGGCCAAATGTTATATATGGAAGAGTGGAAATGTATGATCTATTTGGCGGCACCCAAGTTAGTCATATATTATATATATATTAAATATTATCTCAATTAATAATATTTATATAATTTTTTTCCGGATTAATCATAATTAATTTCATATTTTATATACACTTATCGACACTTTTTAATCTTACATAAATATTTTTGTTTTTTGAAATTTTTTTGTTGTTGTAAAAATTATTATTTATTACTTAATAAAATATAAAATGACCATATATTTTTTTTAAAATATATAAATTATAATACTCTACATAGTTTCAGTAGAGTATAGTAGAAAACAATATTATAATTATTGACCACTACTAACCTAAATATTGTAACGTATATTGATGCCACTAAATTAATATTTAATTAACTTATATATATCCTAAATTGTATTATAATATAATATAATATTATAATATTAAATCATTTTATTATTATTATTATTTAAACAGTATTGCAGACATGGATGCCCTAACTCGTACCGGACTTTATTTAAATGATTTGAGTTTACATGACTTTAGTCGTGATATGGTATGAATTGTTTGATTAAAAATTGTTGTAAATAATATAATCAAACACACATACAGTACATAATTTTGTTTTATTATTATTATTCATGAAAAAACAATTATAATCTTCATGTTTTGTTTTTTGATATTATTATAAATATTTAATCTTAATATTATTGTAATATTTTTTTAAACAAAAAAAACTTTTTTTATATATAATTATGATTAGATTTTAAATATAAAAGCAAAATATTAATATAACCTTCTGTTAAAATACTTAGTTTTTATTATTAATTAAATCAAAACAATAATAATAATAATAATAAATCTAATGATTTTGATTTTGTTTACAAATATTATACAATTATCTAAATTTTTATCAAAAATAATAATTAAAGATTTGCAATTAAATATGAAAATTACTTAAATTGTAAATTATTAGCACAAATGTATAATTTATATTAATATTTTATTTTTTATGTAAAATACATATTAATATCATTTATAAATATAGTTTTATATTTATAAATGGAAAATATATCATTAAGCAATTTTAGTATAATTTGAAATTAATATATTCACTGTAAGTGTATGCAATAATTTATAATAAAATAGTATAAATATACTATACTGTATTTAACATACTATTAACTATGATATTAATATGATATATATTTATAAAAATCAAATCATAATTTTAATGAATTAATGTATAATACAGTAATATATAGTTAAGTACCAAAAACTATAATTTTTGCCAAATTTGCTTTTATAAGTCATTTATATATTTTAACAAAAATAGTTGCTTAACATTTTCAAAATGTATATATAATTTATGTTTGTATTTGTAGCCTTTTTATTATTTATTTTATTTAGTGATATAAAAGCTATAATAATATCAAATAACAATTTTATGGACATTTTAAGTAAATAGCCATTACGTGAGCTATAAATTTATCAATGGTAATTGACCAACAAAAAAATCAGCTTGCAGAAATATTAAACATTTTGCTTAATCAATAGTATTTTTTATAATAAATAATCATATTTACTGTACTATATATATATACTGTATATACAGTATATAAAATAATAATAATAATAATAATAAATAAAAACTAAAATACAGTATTTTATATTAGTTATATAAATATACGTATATTTATCATTATAGCCAAAACAATTAGATTACAGTTAGATTAGTAATACATTGTATATCAAGTATAATGTACAGTAAAATCTTTTAATGAGCTAAACTATTATATCTTTTGCAAATCTTTATCAACAAATTATTATTATAATTTAAATATTAAATCTATCAAAATATTAAACCTAAATATTTAGCCGATTTCTGTCTCTTTTGTGTCAAATATTGATTTAAGATATTGATTATATAAATGCTTAATATCAATATCAATATACAATATATACATTTGAGGAAACATGTTATTGAAGTCCCAATTTTATCGTTCAAACAGGTATTGGCCGGACAGCAACAAACAGCTGAACTTAAGTTGGCTTTAGGTATATATCTTTTATATCATACGATATATAATATTTGTGATACATATTTAATCTAAAAAAAATCCTGATTTAACGTATAATATTATTAACTGTTTTATAACTATATATTAAATCCTTAAACATAATATGTTCAGTGAATATAATTTTTTTGTTGTATATAAAAAATAATTAATTAATGCTTTTACTTAAATAATTTATTATATCTTTTATTATTGGTTGGTTATAAATATTATACATTTTACCTAAATAATAAAGAATTTATATATTTATAAAAAAATAAATAAACTTATATAAGTAATTGTATTAAGTATTGAATTTAAATATTTAACTATCAATTATAAAATCATTATAAAACTAAATTTTAAAAAAAATTATAGATCAAGAATTGCATAAAAGTAAACAATTAGAGGTATCAATGGTTAAATTGGATGAAGAAATGAAACGAACCGATGAATTACTTTATCAAATGATAAGTTTTTACAATAGAAAAAAATTTATATTATTATTAAAATTTTTATATTAGTTATTATAAAAGTTGATATAATTTCAATATATTTTTTCTTTTCAATAATAAATCCCCAAAAAGATTGCCGTTAGACTACGTAAAGGGGAGAATCCAATTGATACGTGTCAGGTATTGGTTACATATTTAGTAATCAAATGTTAAAATATTTATTTTTGAATAAAAATTTATAAAAAATAGTATTTAATTTTAATTACATTAATTTATTAGTACTTTTCATGTGTGACAATACTATTCTCGGATATCGTTAACTTTACGGTCATATGTAGTCGCATAACACCCATGCAAGTGGTCTCTATGCTTAACTCAATGTATAGTATGTTTGATGAGCTAACTGTCCGACACTGTGTCTATAAGGTATAAATATGAAAACTATTATTTATACTTTTAAAAAATAACTTATTATAATTTACAGTAATTATTAATTGTAATATATCTAATACTTTACAATATACAATATTATACTATAATATTATTATCATAGTAACCAAAAAAACCAATAGATTTTATATTGTATCAAATTTATCAAATTTCAACTTTTTTTGGTTTTCATTAATAATTATGAAAATTTATATTTATCCTTTAATTTTTTGATACACTTGTTTTATTTTGTTTTATATTTATTAAAGTATTGATTGTCTGATCAGATAAATACAAAAAAAAATAAATAAACTGTAATTGCTTGTTTCCAATTAAAATAGCGAGAAATAAAAAAATAATTTATAACTAATTATTAATTAAATAGATTTCTAATAGAAAAAACAAGTCATAAAAATTATAGTAATTATTTTAATAAAAATCTAATTTTAATTAAATAAAAAATTATTATAAATTTAAAAGCATTTATTTTTAATATATGCAAACTATATTGAATTAAAAAATCAATAATATGTTAAAATTTAACATATGATTACCAAGTGATCGGTTTTCAAGTAAGACTTTTGAATATTATACGAAAAAAACAAATAAATTAGAAATTAAGTGTAAAAATGAGCGATTGTTATGGTTGTCTCATTTAACTGACAATTTAAGTACATATTTTCCTTATGCTTATTTTAATAGGAAATATTGTGATTTTTTATGATTATTATTATAATTTATAGTTTTGATTAAATTAATTCAAATTAACATTTTTTTCTATTTAACTGTAGACACACATAAAATTGAATAATTACTGATAATCCAAACAAATGCAAATGTCTTATAAATAATAATGAATATATTAAGCAATAGTTTTAATCATTTTCTATTGTAATGTTTATATATATTTTATATTTAAATATATATGCATTCATTTCAAACTAATAAATATATATCGCATTTAACATCTATCTCTCTCTCTTTCTTTCTCTCTCTTTCTTTCTTTCTCTCTCTTTATCAAACAGTTATAATTGTTATTCAAATTATATATTTATACTGTATATAAATAATATTTACTATTTTTTTAAAGGTCGAAACAATAGGTGACGCATACATGATATGCAGTGGCGGCGGGATTCACGACTGTCAGGACGACAGTGTGAATCACGCGAACAAAGTGTGCCAAATAGCCATTGATATGATAAGAGTGACGTTCACACTGCCCGACCCCTCCGGTGACAATAATCTTAAAATCAGAATCGGTATTCAAAATATTTTAAATATATTGATTTTTATCAATTGATTTATTTTTATTTACAATAAAAAAACTACTGTACTGTATGTTTCCTAAGTGTAAACATTTTTGATATGATTGATTTTTTTATCCATTGATTAATATAATATAAATAGTATATTAAAAATTAAATAGATAGACAATAATTATAGAAATATTTATATAAAAAATAGATAAATTTAATAATAGTTTTAACTTAAACATTATATTTAATTTGATAATATATTTTTAGATATTCAATATAAACAATTTAAAATATTTATATTTACGTAGGATTTTTATCACTAATTTTTATATTTATATTGTTGTTTAAGCAATTAAAAATTATATTATATTATACATACAATTTTTAATTTATTATAGCATAAGTCTATTATCAAAAGTAACAAATACCAAAAAATACAATAAAAACAAGACATTTAATATTATACAATAAAATTCATTTTGTTTAAACATTGAACATATTGTTAAAAACAAATGGTTTTTATTTTATGATTATTGTTGTGTTGTTTTAAATCTCTCTCTCTCTCTCTCTCTCTCTCTCTCTCTCTCTCTCTCTCTCTCTCTCTCTCTAATGTTTAGATATATATTATTTATGAACTCATTTTTTAGTTTTTTAAAGGTATATATATATATATATATATATAATACACGTTGTTTTTACACTATTGAGAAAGTATTCAAAATGAAAATATAATCATTAAATAAAAAATATTATTTTATGTATTCATTTGTTTGAAGTTAAAGCCCTTGAAGTCTTAATAGTATTTAATATATTAAAAACAATTTGAATGTAGACTTTATAATTTATATACTGTATATACAGACATACTATTTATTTCTACAATAATTTTTAAGCAATTTTTTCTAATTAAAGTAAAAAGTAAATGTCAAACAAATAGATAGAAATTACTATTTTATGAATCATTCGTCAATTTTTTACAAATCTCTTGTTTGCTCTCAATTTGTATATAAAATAAATAAAAACCATTTTTTATGATTATTATACAACAACACACATATTTAATAATTATTATTTTTTTTATAAAAAATTATAATGAACTTGATTTCATTGTAAATTATTTAATGAAATGTTTACTAATTTTCAAATATTTTCCCTTTTCTCTTATATTTCTCATTAAAACAGGCATTCATACAGGTGTGGCCCAACAAATGTGTTGTATTAAATATTTAATTTATTATTATTATTATTTATATAAGTTTATTATTTTTAATAAACATTTATTATAAAACAAATTTATTTTTTTAATACTAGCCATAACAAAAAAATAATAATTTTATTGTATTAGTTTAATAAATTTACATTTAAATATTTATAATATATATATATATATATATTATATATATTATATATCATATTATAATAATATATACATACAGCAAAATGGTTAAAGTTTGATCTCAATTTTTTTGAACATTTTAATCAATCAATAATATTTATTACTATAACTAATTAGTATTTATTAGATTTTTACTTTTAATGATAATATGTATTTATTTCAGTAAATGTTTTATTCAAAAATAATATTAATTATAAATAGAAATATATAAATATCAAATTAATTAGAAAAATGATTTTAATAAGAAATAGATTTTACTATTAGATTTATTTTCTAAAAAAATAACTATTGATATAATAGATAAATTTTATAAAAAAATAATAATTATACATTTACGATCATATTTATAATAATAAAAATCTGACAATAATTTCCTATAATGAATATATTAGATATTAAAAGATTGTTAAAAATAAAATTAATATTATATATTATTACTTTATAATTAATAAATTACGAATAATATTATTTTTGTTTTTTGATTGCAATCAATTTGTAATTTGTATATAAATTTATTTTTCACGCAAACTATTAATTTAAGGCCCAGGTATGTTAAGCTCACGTGTGGTGATAATTTTTTTAGTTTTATAGTCATTTAATTGATATATAGATAACTAATAATATGCACGTTATTAACATTGACTTTTAATATTTTTACTTTTCTTGTTTTTATTTATTTTTGTTTTTTGAATTTTATTTATTTTTAACACTTATTTTTATTTTTCATCATCAATAAAAATTTATATTATATAATAATTTAATAATAAATAATTCAGTAGTAGGAGGTATAGTTGGTCAAAAAATGCCCAGGTAATTAATATTATGAATTTGCTTTAATTTTTTAAAAATAATAAAATTACTAAATTTTTTATTTATAGATATTGTTTATTTGGTGATACGGGTAAGTTTAATATCATTGATTATATATATATTTTTAATTATATTTATATACACATTGAAATGTACAGTCAATACGGCCAGTCGTATAGAGAGCTCGAGTGCGGCTCAAATGATTCAGATCAGCGAAAAAACAAAAGCAATGTTAGACCCAAACGAATGGGATATTTATGAAAGAGGAACCATACCATTGAAGGGAAAGGGATTTATGCAGGTTTGGTCATATAGTTTACTACAATATTATAATAAGATACTAATACATTACATAACATTACTAATACACTAATATTAATACATGTACTTATAATTATTACAGTATTTTATATTGCTAACAAAAATTTTGAGATTGATAGTCAAGTTTAGCTAAACAATAATTTTTAATAATAATAATAATAATACAGTAATTGTTGCATACATGCAAGGTTATTATTATTATTATTGATATTAAATTACCTTAAAGCTAAAGTTATTGATAGATTAACCTAATAATTTGTTGAAATATTATTATAATTATTATTATTTAAATAAACATATTTTTTATCAAATTCTAAGATAACATCTTAATGTTATTTATTTTGTTTTTTATTTTATTTATTTATCAAAAAATGTTTAGACCTATTGGCTATACGGAAGACATTCTAGAGATCAGTTGTCAGATAACAGCGACAACAATGATAGAGCAGTTGATAATAAAATGCTGATTCAAAAGGTATCGCCGTTTAATACAATTGTAAGCAGCGGTCAAATTAATGTCAGCAATGATTGTAAAAATTTAAACAACGATCAATTGAATTGCTTTTTAAATGTTAATTATGATAAACTACTACAACAACAGTCAGTATGTGATCTCATAAATAGTGACAATAAATCTAAAGACATTGTCGACAACAAAAATGCTGAGAAAAGTCTGTCATTGGTCTCTAGTATTGAAGGACAACATAACACTAAACAACACCACCGGGCAATAGATAGGGTTAATAGAGATAATAATAATACTATAATTAAGAATTCATGGATTTCTAATACGGGAGAACACGTGGATAGTAGTAGTGAAAGTCAACAAATTAAGGGAAAGGGATGCTTTAGGTTAAGCTCCTCTAAGCATAAGTCTAATAATGTTAACAACACTACTGGTTCAACAAGAAGGACACTGTCTTGTATTATCATTTAAATAAGTCATTAAATACTAATTATATATACTTTAAATATTATATTGAATTATATACAATAATATAATTGTCTTAAGAGAGATAACTCTTAAAAATTATTAATAGACACATAATTACATATGAAAAGGTCTTTTTTGTTTTGTTTTAATATAATACTTAATATAATACAATTGCAAAGATTAATTTATTTTAAAAAATTTTAATTATTTTATTTAATTTGCATATACAAGTATATAAGAATACAAATATACAGTATATTGCATAAAATCTCGGCTATTTACTACTTTCACTAAAAGTGGTATAACTTTAAATATAAAAAATATAGAAAGGGGTGATATATATCATTGGAAAGGTAATTATACATATTATTAATTATTATATACTTATTTATTAATTTTAAAAATTATTTTTTTCCTGTGATTTATTTACCGATTTTTATGAGCAGTTAAAAAAAGCCGAGATTTTATGAAATATACTGTATATATATATATATATATATATATATATATATATATATATATATATATATATTATATAAAAATTAAATATTTAAAAATATTTCTAACTAATAAATACTGTATAATTTTTCTTTGTGTTATTAGTGATAAAAATTTGTTGTTTTCTAAAGAAATATTTTATGTAATTAAACTATTTGATACATTGTTTAATGTGAACATTCATTTATTTTGACATTTTAAATAAAATTTATGTTGAAATAAATCTTTTTAGAAATTCAAAACTTATAAATTTTGTCATTTATTATTACAAATGTAGTTAAAAACTATTTAAAAAAAACTATACATTCTTTAAATTATATAGTAATATACAATACAAACACAAATGATTCATTAACCTTAAAAATTCATTAGTTATGGTTATAACAATATATTTATATTTTTTATTAAAAAATTAATTGATATTTTAAAATCATACAAATATTCAACACATTCATCAAATATAGACATACCATTACAACTCCCTATCGTTTCGTAAATAACATTCAATATAACTGTATATAATGTTATTTTAAAAAAACAAAAATATTATTATTATACAGTTATACAAAACCAAATACAGGTATTAATCTGCTATTATAAATACTAACCAAATATTTTATCAAAATTGTTTTTATTAACAAATAACGCAATCGATCCATTTTATTATTTAGAAATTTATCAAATATATCAAAACATGGCATAAATATTTTGTTTATACAATTGAAATAAATAAAATAAAAAAATTATACTTTTACTTTTAATAATTTTTTTAAAAATCAAATTTGTATTTATGAGATTAGATTTGTACGATAATCACTATTTTAAAAGTATAATTTTTATACATTAATGAAATAAATTATTTTTGTATAACAAACAAAATTTATAGTTTATATATTAAAAATTTTAATTATAAACTTTCACATTTAATATTTAAATTTCAAATAATATTTAATAATATTATTTTAATAAAATTAAAAATTATAAAATATTTTTTTACATAGAAATGTTAATTTAGATATATTAAATGCAAATAATGTATAATATAATATAAAAACTACATATAACTATTTTATACAGAATTTAGTTATTAATTTTTTAATATTTACTAAATAATTTTTAAAAAATAATTTATATAAATATAATAGTTATTTTATTGTATATTTAAAGTTTATATTAAATACAATTACATTGTTATGATTGACAGATATTAAATAATAATTAGCTATTTTTTATATAATTCAGTAATAATTTATATTATTTAAAATTAATTATGGGTAAAAGATAGTTAGAAATTCATTTAAAAATTGCATTATTTTGTGAATCATAATTTAGATTAAAATAATAATAATAAACATAAGTAGGTTAAATGTGATAGAAAATTATTTTATTTTTATTTCTTACATTGATCAATTTATATTTCAAAATTTATTTTACAAATACACTATATAAGTAATACATATAGTACTCTATATTATTATTATTATTAATATTATTTTTTTACTTATACTTTTACATTATCTTTCTTAGTGAAACATCTTTATTAAATAACATATAATTTATTATCCAAATTATGTGATCATTTAAATTTAAAATAATAAAGAATTTATATTAAAATAAATAAATTATGTGCCATTATTTAAAACAATTTGTAATATTATTATATAAATTTTAAAAATTTAATATTAATAGATAAATTATAATTAATTATGTATTCTAATGTGTAATATTAGCCAATGTTTTAGATTAGTTATAAAATTATATTATGCTTTTGTGTTTATATTTTTATTAAGAATAATTGTTTTACATTTTTAAATATTTAATGATTTTAAACATTTTAAAAATTTATATTTCTTATATAATTTATCGTATCATTTACTAAATATCTATTCATAATAGCTATAGTTTATTTAGTATTAATATAATTGATTAATGAATTATATTAAAACAAAATTCTCATTAAAAACAATATAGTTATTATTGTTTTATTTATTTATAAGTTTACTTAAACAAGTTATGAATACATATACAGTAACTAATAACTAATTTAGTAGAAAATATAAACAATAATATATAACAATATCTTTAAAAATATAAATTTTAATAAATCAAACAAATTTTCTTTTTATTTATTATATAAACTCAATAGTCTTAAGTTTTTTTAATACTTTTTAGAAAATACTTAAATATTGCATAACAAATACTAATTAACACATGTATAATATATATATATATATATATTAATCTAGTTTTTATGTAAAATTTTACACATTTATTGTAAAATATTCTATTTGCATAATATATAAACATAAATTAAATTTATGTATATTTGTATTACTTTATTTATAATAAAAACATAAATTTTGATATTACGTAGAAATTAAATATTTAACAAAAATATAAATATTATATAAAGTTGTTTGATATAAAATAAAAATTATATATATATTCAATTATATTATTTATACAAAATATACTTTATTTTTATTTAAATAAAGCTATGATGTATAATATAAAATCATATGAATATTTAATACGATAAGGCAAACACACATTAAAAAAATATAAGAAATAATATATAGTGAATATATCGGTATTAATGGCCGTTAAATTACTTACACTTTTGAACCGCTAAAAACACATAACAAATTCATGACTTTTATGGCAATCACATAAACCGATAGACATTATATGGTTAAGATTTTTTTTCTCTCAATAAAAATCTTATAGACATGTCTTTTATTATAAAGTTATATAATTCATAAACAGTTTTTTTATAATAAATGATCTGAGAATTCAATTATGACCCAAATATCAATCTTTGATTTTAATTTAGTCTCTCTCTCTCTCTCTCTCTCTCTCTCTCTCTCTTTATTTCTCTTTCTCTTACTCTCTAACTCTCACTCACTCAATGTCTGAGACCGACAACGCCTTTATGTCGACTTATAGTTAATATAATAAAATTATTTTATTTTGATGATTGACTATAAGTTTTGCGAATTTTTTGTTTACGACTAAAAACAAAAAATTGATGGCTTAAACAACAACAAAAAATGTTTGTATTTAGTAGAGTAACAAAATAAATAAATATTTACTAAATAAATTTTTAATTTGCTTTTAATGTTTTTTTTTAATTTTAAATAAAATATTTTAATATAGTCTACTAGTATACATACTAATTGCATATAATATTTATAAAAAAATAATATAAAATAATAAAATATTCTAATTTAATAAATTAATTTAATAGAATCATTACAATTGTATTGTTAAATATATTTTTTTTAATAAATATTTTATATACTGTATCTGTATAGTAAATATACATTTTTTTTAAAAAATTTTACTTAATTAAAAAATTTAATATACTATAAAATTCATGATTATGTTAAAAAGAGACGTGATTTCAATTTAAACAATAATAATTGATAATTTACTTTTTAAGTATTGTACAACAATTGTCGATTTATTTATTTTTTTTTATTTTATTTATCAGCCAAAAGGTATATATCAATAACACTGTGTGTTTGTTGTTAATGAATGTTGGTTTGGGAGGGCAGCTGTCAAAACATACCGTTTGCTTCAATTATTTGTTCACGTTTTTTGGTTTAAAGGGCACACAAATCAGTTTCGCATTTATTTTCTCATAACAATTGATTTTAATCGGACGGTTAATATTCAAATATATATATATATATATATATATTATTGATATATACAGTACAATAAACGTATTATTGTAAACATCTAGTGTTAACAATATACAACTATAATATACTGTATATATATATACTATTATATTATAACATTACTACATCATTACATACTACAGTAGAAAATTAATATTCAATAGACAATCAATTATTTTGATACAATTGTTTTTCTTGCATAATAGCTAACCAATGCTTATTATTATTCAAAACATTTAATTTACTCGTCAAGCGTATCAATGTAATGCATTTGTCATTTATATATATATAAATTATATATTTAATTGTTAAATCAAATAAGCATATTGAGTTTATTGAGCCAGGTTAACAATTTTATTGACAGCTGGGGTAATGGGAACAAGCATTTAATACAAACTATTTTTTTTAATTTTAAGCAAATTTTTTGATACTATAATAAATATTATAATATAAGTTTTTTTATATAAAAATTCTTGAATTTCATTGACAAACTATTTTTAATCTATTGTTTTTTTATTCACTCATAAATATGTACATAAAATTTATATTATCTTAATTACAGTATTATACAGTAGTACTGTATAAGATTAATCATTATACTTTTAGTATGATATAATAGGTGTATATTAATCTCATACTCACGTTATTAATAAGTACTGTATATAAACAGTTGAAACTGATAGATAATACTAAATAAATAGGAAAAATGTAACAATAATAATAATAATATGTATGTTTAAATAGTGGCCATAAGATTATTAGGTCACTTGTGGTTATTGAAAAGCCTTACATCTAATTGAACACAAAATTAAAACTTAACACTTAGTTAATATTAAGCCATATTAAAACAGTTGGTTTTTTGTAATAGTAATAGTGATAGAAAATGTGCATAAATTATTCAGGTTAAGGTTAGACCAAAAATTATTTCACGTGATTATAATATTATTATTCTCTCTCTCTCTCTCTCTCTCTCTCTCTCTCTCTCTCTCTCTCTCTCTCTCTCTCTCTCTCTCAACTCATTTAAGGGGAAAGTTGTCTATAAGTTTTTATATATATTTTTTTCAATGCAATCCACGCCTGGCTATCATAATTAAAACGCCCGTTAGATAACTGAATAGCAATAATAATAATAATATTGAATAGCAATGTATAAGAAAAATCGGAAGAATTTCTAGAGTAATCCTATGAGTGGTTTGGATTTGTTTGTAGTGCCGTATAAAGTATACTATAGTTTTATGTATTAATATTTTAATACATATACAGTATATAAAATAAATGAGAGTAAAAAAAAAGTCGGACATTGCCTTCGGATTGTTTCGTAATTGTATGGCTGTGTGTGTGTGTGTGTGTATGTGTAGTGAAAGTGTTTTTTTTGTACAGGTATTTGAAAGCCAACACTCCTGTAATACTTGACTTTCAACTGGCTTTGGACGGCTATGTCTTTAATAGTATATATTTTACTACTACTTTCACTTTGAAGAGAAGGGCGTGTGTCTCGTGAGACTCAGATGCCAATTGAATGAACCGTTTTTTTCTCTCAAAGAAAAACATAGGTAACTGTGCTTTACATCAAAGACATCGATGGTATATAAAAGCCAATGATTTGGTGTTTACTTTCATCAGTCAGTTTTCTCTGAGTTTTCTTATCATTTCATTAGTATTTAATACTTAAATTTAAAAAACCTCAAAATGAAGGTATATTGTAATATATAAAAAAAAGTTTGAAATTGGTTTAAAATTTAATCGTTAATATTGTGTTTTTATTATTATTATTTTCTGTTAGTTCTTCATCCCATTAGTGTGTTGTATAGCCCTATCCCAGGCTCTTCCAGGCGGACAATCAGTCTCGAGCCGAACCCAAGATGTAAAGCGACATAATAATGAAAAAATGTTTTTTTTATTAATTAAGTGATTGTTTTGTTTTTTATTTATTTCTATAAAGGATTGGGGAAACTATGCTTTCGGATATGATATCGTTGACGAAGTAAGCGATTAATCATTCATTCAAAAAAAAAAACAGTTTAAAAATTTGAAACAATTAATATATTGTTTGTTATGTCCCAATCACATAGTATGGCGCACAAAATGGTCGGGAAGAGAAAGGTGATGCTCACGGAAACAAAGTCGGTTCGTATACCATTAAGGACTCCGACGGCAGATCCAGACGTGTCGACTATGTTGCCGATGCCCACGGTTTCAGAGCCACCATCGGAACCAACGAAGTGAGACATTCAGATCTGAATACAAAAAAATGAGTTATTTATGAAAACAAATTATTTATATATAGCCCGGAACCGCCACCTCAAACGTTGGTGATGCCACTTACTTGAGCTCTGCACCGGTCATAACTGCTGAGCCCGCCAAGATCTTGGCCGCTGCCCCCGCCTACCACGCACCAACTTTGTTGGCCGCCCCCGCCGCCTACCACGCTGCCCCTGCTTACAGATCATACGCCGCTCCATTGGCTGTGGCCCATTCAGCCCCCCTGTTGGCCCACTCAGCTCCACTTATCAATTCTTACTCAGCCCCACTCATCAAATCTTATTCGGCTCCATTAGTGTCCCGATTGTCCGCCCCAGTTGCCTATGGTCACGGACCCGCTTTGTTGGCCGCCGATCCCTGGGCTAAAGCCTGGTAATCAATTATTACCATAGCTTTTAGATACCATTGATTTTAATTATATATTAATGACAAAGAAAAACCACTTTCTTATTATTGATTACTTATTTCTCATCTTTAAGTTATCTAATCATTTGATTTTTAAAGAATTATTATTTTTTAATATCTCTCAATTCAATTCAAATGTTATTATTTTATATATATTTGTTGTTATAATTTAAATAATTGTTGTTTTTTGAGATAAACTTGTAATTTATATAGAAATATTTGTAAAAATAAATGAGCATTTTTTAAAAGCCAAAAACATAATATAATTAATTAATTATAAAAACTTTTAACTATTTTAAACTATTTTTAAAACTACTTGCATAAAAAGTTTAATCTAATTTTTATTAATATTTTTTACTTAATATTTTTAATGTTATCAATAATGTTATAATTATTAATAATATTTTGTTATTATTAAGATTTCCATATAAATACAATATTTTTAATAAATTCCATTATTTTTATTAATTATTAATAAATTTGTTTAATTTTAATTTTAAAAATAACAAATAGTTTTGCATTGAAAATGTTGAATTTAAAAGACAATACAAACATTACCTTGTACAATTTATTTTTAAATTTATATTCTAATTATTTTGAAATCATATTTTACTTATAATATAACTATTTTATTTTGACAAATATAATTTATTTTTAATTGTTTAGTTATACTGTATATATATTAAAATAATGTTATATTTAGAATATTATTAAAGGAATTTAATTTTATTTAACAATTTAATTTAATTAAGTAATAAAACACTATAAAAAGTAATTAGCAAAGAGGGGGTCAATTTCTCTGCATTTACAATTTTTTTTTAATTTGACGTAATAAAATCTAGTGCTGGAAAAAGAGAAATTTCTAGAAAGTTTCTAAAATAAATTTCTATCTATGGCATCACCATGTTAATTTTGTTCTCTCGATATTTGATATATTTTAACAATATATTAAATATTATTATAAGTATTTTAATTATTAAATAAAGTTAAAAAAAATAATTAATTTAATTGTCAATATATTAAATTATGATATATTAATACATATATATAATAAAATGGCGAATAAAATTTTATGAAACTGATTATTATTAAATAATTATAATTATTTTATATATAGGTATCTCATTTTGTATAGTATTGTATATTAGTACAATAGCTATAGCCTATAGATATAACATAATGTAACAATAGAGATAAATTTCTATAGAAATTTATTCCTGAGAAATTTATTAGAAACTTTCTATTTTCCCATCTTTAATAAAATCATTAAAAAAACTTTTATCACATAAGGATGGTTGGACTTACCCCTCCCTACCCCACAGATTAAAACCTTGATTAATATGCAATAATTTTTATTTATTAATTTATTTATAATATATGCATTTAATTAATACGAAATTTTTAACTTACAACACATAAATCAAATATAGTTTTCACTCAATTTAACTCATAATTATTGTTAAGATTAACAAATATATATACTGTATATATAATTAATTTATTTTTTATTAAATTTCATTTTATTTCATCATAAAATATATTAAATTTTCAAATAATTTTTATAAAAAAAATAATTATAGATAAATATACTGTACTGTAATACTTGACATTCAAGTGGGCTTTGAGACGGCTATGTCTTTAATAGTACAGGTATTTACTAATACTTTCACTTAGAGTGTAAGGGCGTGTGTCTCGTTAGACTCAGATACCAATTGTATGAACCGTTTAAAAAACAGCATAACTGTGCTTTAAAATCAAAGACATCGATGGTATATAAAAGCCAGTGATTTTGTATAGACTTTCATCAGTCAGTTTTATCTCCTTTGAGTTTTCATTAGTATTTAATACTTAAATTTTTGTAAAATCTCAAAATGAAGGTATACTGAAATATTTAAAAAAAACTTATATTTTTTTTAAAAAAAAAGTTTGAAATTGATTTTTTAAAATAATAATTTTATTAATAATATTGTGTTTATTATTATTTTCTGTTAGTTCTTCATCCCATTAGTGTGTTGTATAGCCCTATCACAGGCTCTTCCAGGCGGACAGTCAGTCTCGAGCCGAAGCCAAGATGTAAAGCAACATAAAAATGAAAATTTTTTGTTTGTTTGTTAATTAAGTGATTGTTTTGTTTTTTTCTATAAAGGATTTGGGAAACTATGCTTTCGGTTATGATATCGCTGACGAAGTGAGTGATTTGTCATTCAAAAAAAAAAAATGTTTACAAAAATTAAATAAATATATTGTTTGTTATGTCCCAATCACATAGTATGGCGCACAAAATGGTCGGGAAGAGAAAGGTGATGCTCACGGAAACAAAGTCGGTTCGTATACCATTAGAGACGCCGACGGCAGATCCAGACGTGTCGACTATGTTGCCGATGCCCACGGTTTCAGAGCCACCATCGGAACCAACGAAGTGAGACATTCAGATCTGAATACAAAAAAAATGAGTTATTTATGAATACAAATTATTTATATATAGCCCGGAACCGCCACCTCAAACGTTGGTGATGCCACTTACCTGAGCTCTGCACCGGTCATAACTGCTGAGCCCGCCAAGGTCTTGTCCGTTGCCCCCGCCTACCACGCACCAACTTTGTTGGCCGCCCCCGCCGCCTACCACGCTGCCCCTGCTTACAGATCATACGCCGCTCCATTGGCTGTGGCCCATTCAGCCCCCCTGTTGGCCCACTCAGCTCCACTCATCAATTCTTACTCGGCCCCAATAGTGTCCCGATTGTCCGCCCCAGTTGCCTATGGTCACGGACCCGCTTTGTTGGCCGCCGATCCCTGGGCTAAAGCCTGGTAATCAATTATTACCATAGCTTTTAGATACCATTGAAATTGATTATCATAAATATGTTTGTTATAATTTAAATAGTTGTTGTTATTTGAGATAACTTGTAATTTATATATAGAAGTATTTGTAAAAATAAATGAACATTTTAAAAAAAAAACCAAAATCATTATATAATTAATTTTTATTCTTTTATAACTTTTAACTATTCATTATTTGAGTAAAAAACTATTTTTTAAATTAGATCAAATTATTTTTAATAATTATTTTATTTTTGTCAATAGTTTTTGCATAATGTATGTGATGGTCAATACTACTGTATTATATCTATAATAATAATTATAAATATTAATACTATTTATATTTAGTCATTATTTAGATCATTAAATAATTACTATAAAATCCTTTAATTTAATTACCGGTTATATCAGACATATTGAATTAATTTTATTACTATTAATATGTAATGATTTTTATAATTTATATTATATTCTTTAATTAATACAAAACCTTACAACACATAAATCAAATATAACTTTTAATTTAACTCAAGATTATTGTTCAGATTTTTTTTACAAATATATAAATTTATTTTATTTTATTAAGTCTTTATTTTTTAATATTAAATTTTTATAATTTTTTCAAATAAACATAGAAAAATATACTTTATAAAAAAACAATATAAAATGTTATATCATATATTTTTGTTAAAACACAAAATATAATTATAACATATAAACTATTTATTTCTTTTATTATTTATTTGCTAAAATAAATTAATATTCAATTATTTTTAAAAAATGTATAAAAAATTACATAATAATACACGAGTCGTGTTGATTGTTATTATTTTTGTCATCGTTTAGATTGAGTGGCAATAGACGTGCCGGCGGTTCCAAGCAATGGCCGTCCAAATAGATACGATATATTGTCAGGTGATGTCCGGCCACCGATAGGTTTGATTTGAGACACGAGTCAACTGTAGTGGCGATAGAGCTCGAGCTGAATGGGATCGATATGACAGTGGTTTCAGCTGACAATACATGAGCGCCTAATATAGATAGATATATAATATATATATATATATATATATATATATAGGTTTGGATGTCATATAAAATATAAAATATTTTGAATTAATGTTTTTTGAGTTCACATTTACAATGTTAAACAAAAGTTGTAAATTAACTATCATTAATAATGTTTCTCAAAATACTGTAATTATATATTACTGTAAATAATACCTATTATATAAAATTCTCATATAATCTGCAGTTAATATATTATTTAAATGAATGCTATTTAATATCATTATTATTATTATTCCTAATCCTAAGTTTAAATGTAAGTTATAGATATATACTGTAAATTTATGACATTTAAAATATGTACATTAAATAATTATATGAATTTAGATGCTATATTTTAAAATTATTACTAAAATTTTAATATTTTACGTTTTTAATTAATATTAATATATATATATATATTATTTAAAAACTACAACAATAAATGTCATACCTGTAGCCATAAGCCAGGCCTCGATTTTACGTTTACTTGAGGTCACGCTTTCAAATTCAGGTGAATTTGTATTCAAAGGGTTTGCAATTTTTGTTGGCACAAAGATTTTGCTATAAAATATTAATAAAATAGACATTTAATAATTAAAATTCACTATATATATTGTACTGTATATACAATATAAGATTGTTAAAAATTTAACAATTATTTTAACTATTTAGAAATAAAATCGATAACAATTATTTATTTAAATACAATATGTATGCTAATTAAAATCTTTTTAAATTGTTTAAACTTGAATTTTCTCTTAAATCTAACAAAAATAATTTAACTATACATCTATTATATATTATTTTTTATATATATATATAAACAAGTAATGTTTATAACAATAAAAATGTCAAATGTCTAAATTTATCATTTGATAATATCTTATATATTCATAAACAAATAAGTAATATATTCCCATAATACAAATGGTAAGCAAAAAAAATAATTTGATAATACAATAAAAGCTGATATCAGAAAAATTTACATAATATTCATAAATAATTAATTATTTTGTGCACTAAAAATGACAAACAAACAACAAAAAACAATGGATTGATTGTAAAAAAATTAATTGAATTATAAAATGTCTACAAAAAATAATTGTTATGAGAAAAGTATTCATAAATTGTATACCAATTTAATATCACAGGACTCGAGTCAGGACACGGCTCTTGTTGTTGTTGTTTAGCTACGGCTAGTCGTAAAAATTTCAATGAAAACTCATTGGTTACGACACCATTGGGTTTATCACCGCCAGTGACCAAACTATTATTATTATTATTATTATTTATATAAAACATTTTACGGCTATCGATACTATCATTGTCTTCGTTTAAGTTTTCTTTAATAGATTCGGTATTAACTGAGAGAAGTGGGAAAAAATAATATAATATAATAATAATATAACTAAAATATGAATCATTTTGAAAATTGTTTGAATGCAATATTCAACAACAAAAAAACTATTTATTTATCAATATATAATACATGCATAATCTATGGGTGTCTCCACAGTATTGGATGATAAAAATCTAATGTTTTGGCTCTCATTTCTTAGCCATTGCGACGACCGACTCAATAAACTATTTAACAAAAAAATGTATAAATTTTATTTTCAATTATTATTATTGTTATTTTTGTTGTTGTAATAAAAAAATGTGTCCACATTTTTTATCACTTTAATAAAATTATTATTTAAAATAAAATATATGTTTAATAAAATGATAAATTTGTTTTTTTCTCTAAGACAATAAATTTGCATAATATATCGTATTGTATATACTTAATAATAATAATAATAATAAATACCCACGTTTCAATTTTAATTTTTTTTAGAAAATAAAAATATTTATCATTTTGATACATAAATTAAAATCTTAAATTTGCATAAATAGGATTTAATAAATATATATATAAACAATTATATATTAAAATTTAGACTATTATTCATATAAACAATTTAAATATATTTTTTTAAAATAAAAATAATTTATAATAATATTAAACACTTTAATATTTTAATTTAAAGTATTGTAAATTATGTCAAACCTGGAAAACGATTCATAGACGGGTACAGCCAAAGGTGTGTCCCATATTTGGACTTTTGGTATAAAATCGATAATTTCTAACCTCTCATAAGCGGGGTTTCCGTATTCAAAATAAATCCTCAAAATATAGACAGTGTTATTATTTTTTTGATAGTCATACGACCAGTAAGAGGTCTCAGTGTTGACCGACCAGTTGGTACTCTCGACAGGTATGGGCACTGTCTCTACACTCAATATTCGTCCTAATAGTTCATAAATAATTTTATGAAACATTAAAATAAACAGATAATATTTTTCTATAAATATTTATAACAGTTTTAACATTAATTTATATAATTTTTTTGTAAATCTGTTTAATATAACTCTAAAAAAATTTACAAATAAAAAATAGAATAAAGAATATTCTATGAAATGTTATAGTATAACAAACATTAAATATTTTTTCATTTATATATTTCATACAATTTTTTTTTATATATTTAATTCTTTAAAAAAACTAATAATTTTTTACAGTATATCAATAATTTTAAAATAAATAAAAATTAAAAAAATATATTTAAGTTATACGATATAATAATAACTATTATTAGACATTTGTATTATATAACTAACCTTCTAATGGTTTTGTAGCAAATAAATCATTGACGCGAACCAGCATTTCATCTAATGATTCATATACTGGTTTTGACGATAACAACGATGATTGAGTGCTTTCATTAATTATATCAATCGGTGGCGACGATTGTGTCTCACTATCGATGTCTATATTATCTAAGTTTAAATCAGTCGACAAAATATCACTTTTGTCTGTGTCGTCGGTGTTATTAATATTAATATTATTAATATTGTTATTATTATTATTATTATTATTATTATTAGTAATTTTAATTCTGGGCACAACATTAATGCATCCAATTTTTTGTGGACTATTTCGTTGATGTGGTTGTCGTGGTATTAGCCATAACCTAATGTATAGACACGTATTTTTTTAGTTTTTAATCGTTTGTAATAAATGTTATCATTTTAAATAATCTGAAACTACATACATAAATTTAAACATAATTTAAATTCAATTTTATAAATACAATATAAAAATATATATACAGTATATTTTATTATAGCTTTTGTTAAATAAAATATAAATAAATAAAATTATTTTATTTGATAAATATAATGCTACTATATTTATTAATTGTATTTAGATTAAAATATACTAGTTCAATTTAACAATTTATCGGCAATTAAATTAATTAAAATATAATTAATAAATACTACATTTAATAAAAAAATATATATAAATAAAAAAAAATTTTAAATTTACTGTACTTTCTTAATATATGATTAAAAGTGACGACTATTTTATTACTATTATTATTAGTATATCTAAATAAAACTTTAATAAAAATCTTATTAAAAATGCAAACTTCGTATTTTAATATACAAAATAATGTTTAATATTATTTTATATCCGTTATAAAGTTTAACCAACAAAAAATAACAAAATTTAAAATACTCTCATTTTTAATATTTTGTAGACACTATTAGCACATTAAATCATATATACAGTATATGTCAAATATATCAAATATATAGTAGTGTAGTACATATATCAATGTATTATCTTTGATCATTTTGATATCAATAAATTTTTATTATTGTTTAGCGTCATTGTATATATACCAGTATATCTATACAAATATACAGTATCAACAAATAAATAAAATTTTTATAAATTATTGGTTTGTATAATATAAATAGTTTATATATATTTATCAATAATATTGATTCAATATAATAAATCTACTGTATGTATATATATATATATATATATATAGAGAGAGAGAGAGAGAGAGAGAGAAATAGAGTATATATATTGTATATTATATATAGTATATATTATTTTTATTTAGTCAAGACATATAAATCAAATGTTTTTATATTTAAAATAAATAGTTTTTATTTGTATGTATTTTAATTAATAACTTTAATACATATATTTTATCGGATCTAACTTAAACTATTCAATAGATTTTGACAAATCAAATAAAATATTCAAATTTAATTTGTTTTGAATTTTTAATTTTTATTATATGCTATTCAGTTAAAATTCAATAATTTAAATATTATTATGATTTATGCTATAATATAATAAAATGTTTGACATAAATATATACTATACATATCATATGTATTACACACAAACACATCAATTTTATAATAAATGACACCATTTTGTATGTAAATTTGATTGATGTTATTGAATATTGTATAAAACAAAATTAAAATTCATAACATTTTTCACGTTTTATTGAAAAAGACAATATTAGACAATATTAGATGTCTTATCAAATTTTATATATTTAATATATTGCTGTCTATTTTTAAAAAAGTATTTATCAAACAATCTATTATAATCACTGTATATTCTATTACTTTCTAAAAACTTAATTAAAGTTTTATTATTGTCTGCTCATTACTAATTTTAATTAGCATATTAAAGTATTATTGCATAATAGGTATAATAGCATTAATTAGTATAAATTACTTAATAAGTATTATGTAAAATAAAAATTATGCTAAAATCCATTATTAATTTTAGAGTTTTATTAAATATTCCTAATATTTAATAAATAATATTCACTGTAAAAACATACAGCGTCCGGCATAAAGAGCGCACGTAAATAAAAATTAATATCTCGAAAACTACAAATGATAAAAATCTGAAATAAATTTTATTAAAATCACATATAAATAGGGTTTAGTGTATTAGGTTTTAAAAATGTTTTCCATCATTAACTGCTGAAGATGCTGAAGAAGTTCTTGAAAGGAAACACAAACACGACGTCTCAACTCATCAGGAATTCCCAAAATGACTAGTAATGCGTTCTTCCAGTTCCTCCAAATTCTCCATACTCTTTTCATAGACTATCTTTGACATAACCCCAGATAAAAAATCTCAAGCATTTAGTCATTTTGGGAATTCCTGATGAGTTGAGACGTCGTGTTTGTGTTTCCTTTCAAGAACTTCTTCAGCATCTTCAGCAGTTAATGATGGAAAACATTTTTAAAACCTAATACACTAAACCCTATTTATATGTGATTTTAATAAAATTTATTTCAGATTTTTATCATTTGTAGTTTTCGAGATATTAATTTTTATTTACGTGCGCTCTTTATGCCGGACGCTGTATATTACTTTCAAGTGTATATTAATATACAAGTGTATAAGTGTATGTAATTTACATGTGTATTATTTTTTAAAATTTAATGCACCACTATATTAATGATAAACAGTATGTTTGAATATATTATAATTTATAAACTAAAGTTTAACAGTTTTTTTAATTAAACTTTTTATTTTTTGGTACAGTACAGTTTAATTTATACAGGTATGTCATAAACTAAAAAGTAACAAAAAAACTGATACCTGATTCCCCTAAGATTTCGTTTGAGTTGTTTACCGGCAAAAAACGGTAGTCTTTGACCGAAACCATTGGTCGAGTCATAAATCAGTGTCTCTGCTGTCTTCACCTGCCATTTGGGATTATCACTCAACCATTCATTGATTTGATGAAACACTTCACTATAATTAATATTTAGTTTTTTATATATAAATAAATTTTCAGATAGTGTTGTAAATATATTTTTATTTATATAGAAAAATATATAATACTAAATGTAATAATAATAATAATAATAAGGAATAGGTATTACAAACAAACCTAAATGTTTGATAGTCTGCCTGAAAGAACCAGGAGTCGGGTTTTCGTCGATATTGTGGACAAAAATCGATAAAAGTAAATGAGCCGAAAGGCTGACCTGTCTTGGATGAGACACTTGTGTTGTCGTCAACTGGTGTGGCACTGGTGTCGGGTTCGGGATAGGCATCCACTGAGGTGTCCATAGCGTCAAACTCGTCGCCAGCAAAAGCCATGTTATAGTGAGCCATAACTCATTATATGACACATACAGACACACAACTATACTATACATCTAACCATACCTTACAATGCAATTTATCAATTTATTTGGTGATTACATTAATAACACACAAAGTGTCATAAAAAATACATATTATACTCTACATTGAAATATACTGTATATATATACATGCATTTACAATATAAAAGTAAAAGATATACCGTAATACAGGTATAAACAAAATATTTAAACAATATATATGATATGTGTGTCTATTGTGTTTTTAGACTAAAAAATAATAATTAACTTTCGCTAAATAGATTGTTATGGGAAACGGTAGATAAATGACAGCCTTTTTCCATGAAAAGTGTTGGATTTACTCTGTATATACAGTCTTGTAGTTAGTCGTTGATTATCTCTCTCTCTCTCTCTCTCTCTCTCTCTCTCTCTCTCTCTCTCTCTTTGACTAAACAGATAATAAATGAAAACCAATGCAAAAGCCACTCATTATAACTGATATGACAGCCGTTTGCCAACCATTTGATGATAACAACGACTTTCTTTAGCAACACAATCATTAAAAATGCCTTTTGGTTACATTTTTTAAAACTTATTATATATATATAATATATAATATACACTATAATATACAGTATATATACTACATATTACTATAGTTATTATAGTAAAACACGATTACATAAAAAACTCAAAGAATCATAACTCATATTAAATGTAATGAAATCTAAAATTATGTTTACTTCACATAACTTTTATTATATAGAAATTTATTTTTATTTTTATTTTGTTCACTGATAACAATAGTACTTCAATGGAAATTGTGATAAAACCAACAAAAATAAATAAACAACTTAATAAAGAAACCCAATATTGTTATTATTATTACAATAATTAACAACTTTTTATATACCTGTATACAGTACTATAGTTATAATTATTATGCACTTTGTATTCAATAATATAACAAAATGCTAATAAAAGTAACTTTTTATTTAATTATTTAGATATATTTCTATAGACAAAGTTAATGCATTATGCATTATATTATATAATAATTTAATAATTAATTTTAAAAATAATAATTAAAATTATTTAATGTGCAAAATAAAATAAAATAAAATGTTTTTTTTGTGTGCCAAACATTGTATAAACATTTAATTTTTATTGCCATAGAATTTAATTTAAAGATAAAGGTGCTGATTGACCTTGAACTTGACCTCTAAGCCACGCCCCCAAGGTCGTCAAGGTCATTCAAGTCATATGAGAATGACGTCACTTTGATAAGGTACTCAGATAAATAATGTGACATTGGAATTAATGATGACGACATCCTAATGACCATCACGGTCATCACTTTCTAATTTTAAATTTAATATAGTACTAATAATACTTCTATTGCATAATTGATTAATAATTACAACTACTTCTACTACTAGTACTACTAAATAGCTTATTTCATTAATAATAAAACTACTACTACATTTCTTTTATTTCATTAATAATTACTACTACTATTACATTACAACTATATATACCATATTTCATTAGCAACAAATACTATTATAAAAACTACTAAACTTTTAATTACTATTACTTATACTACATTGCTTACAATAAAGTAATAAAGTTATAAATTATTGATACATTTTATATATTTACTTAAAATTATTATAAATTCTACTATTGTGTGTATATTTTATTAATAATAATTTAGATTCGTACTAAATTGCTTATAATTCATTTTTTCTATATAAAAGAATTACTATTAATAATGCCAAATGTATTTCATTTATAAATATAAATACTAACAATAAAACACATGTATTTTACTAAAACTTATTTTACACTAATATTTATTAATTTTACTATAATAATGTTTATATTTTATTAAAGATAACTTACAATTCTTATTCTTATTATATTATAATTATAATCATTTAATACTAATATTTTACATTATTTAATAAATATTAATTATTCCATTGCAATACTTATATTTTAATTAATTTTTATTAAATATTACTACTACAGTCTCTATATTTTTCAATATACTACTAAAAATATTAAGATAATGTTTACATTTCAATAATAATTACTAATATAGTCTCTATTTAATTAAAGTTACTAATACATTTTTAAGTTTACTTATATTTTATTTATATTAATCTTTTAAATACTAATAAATTTTCTATATTTATTTTAAAAAATCAATAATATTAAGATAATCCTTATATTTTAATAAAAATTATTAGTACATTGTTAATTTATTAAATATTTCTAATATTTGACTTATATTTACTAATTACTGATATGCAATTACTGCTATGTTAATTATTATTATACTTTAAGAACTACTAATGATAATAGAATGATTATATTTTATTAATTATTAATTAATTAATACTATTACTTCAACTACATAGTTTAAATCTAACTAATAATTACTATAAATAATTATAAAATAAGTATATTTTTAAATATTTATTATTAATGCTATTATATTGATTATATTTTTATTAAAAATTACTTATACTTAATTAATTTTACTATTAAATTACTTGACTTATACAGTACTAATAGTAAATTACTTTATTTTTTAGATTATTAAACACAATTACTACATCTAAATAACATATATTTTACTTAAAATTATTATAAATAGTAATAACTTCATTATAAATAATCTACTTTTTAAATAATAATAAATAAATAGTTTATATTTGTTTACAAAAATGTAAACAATCCATAAAAATAGTTTGCTTTTGTATTAAAAAATGTAAACAAACCATAAAAATAGTTTGTTATTGTATTCAAAAACGTAAACAAACTACCCTACTTTATAACTACTCGTAAACAAACTACCCTACTGTATAACTACTTGTAAACAAAACATATAAATAGTTTGTTATTGTATTCAAAAATGTAAACAAACCATAAAAATAGTTTGTTATTGTATTCAAAAATGTAAACAAACCTTAAAAATAGTTTGTTATTGTATTCAAAAATGTAAACAAACCTTAAAAATAGTTTGTTATTGTATTCAAAAACGTAAACAAACTACCCTACTTTATAACTACTCGTAAACAAACTACCCTACTGTATAACTACTTGTAAACAAAACATATAAATAGTTTATATTTGTTTACAAAAATGTAAACAAACCATAAAAATAGTTTGCTTTTGTATTAAAAAATGTAAACAAACCATAAAAATAGTTTGTTATTGTATTCAAAAACGTAAACAAACTACCCTACTTTATAACTACTCGTAAACAAACCACCCTACTGTATAACTACTTGTAAACAAAACATATAAATAGTTTGTTATTGTATCCAAAAATGTAAACAAACCATAAAAATAGTTTGTTATTGTATTCAAAAATGTAAACAAACCTTAAAAATAGTTTGTTATTGTTCAAAAATGTAAACAAACTACCCTACTTTATAACTACTCGTAAACAAACTACCCTACTGTATAACTACTTGTAAACAAAACATATAAATAGTTTATATTTGTTTACAAAAATGTAAACAAACCATAAAAATAGTTTGCTTTTGTATTAAAAAATGTAAACAAACCATAAAAATAGTTTGTTATTGTATTCAAAATCGTAAACAAACTACCCTACTTTATAACTACTCGTAAACAAACTACCCTACTGTATAACTACTTGTAAACAAAACATATAAATAGTTTGTTATTGTATTCAAAAATGTAAACAAACCATAAAAATAGTTTGTTATTGTATTCAAAAATGTAAACAAACCTTAAAAATAGTTTGTTATTGTATTCAAAAATGTAAACAAACCTTAAAAATAGTTTGTTATTGTATTCAAAAATGTAAACAAACCTTAAAAATAGTTTGTTATTGTATTCAAAAATGTAAACAAACCTTAAAAATAGTTTGTTATTGTATCCAAAAATGTAAACAAACCATAAAAATAGTTTATTATTGTATCCAAAAATGTAAACAAACCATAAATATAGTTTGTTATTGTATCCAAAAATGTAAACAAACCATAAAAATAGTTTATTATTGTATTCAAAAATGTAAACAAACCATAAATATAGTTTGTTATTGTATCCAAAAATGTAAACAAACCATAAAAATAGTTTATTATTGTATCCAAAAATGTTAACAAACCATAAATATAGTTTATTATTGTATCCAAAAATGTAAACAAACCATAAATATAGTTTATTATTGTATCCAAAAATGTAAACAAACCCTAAAAATAGTTTGTTATTGTATCCAAAAATGTAAACAAACCTTAAAAATAGTTTGTTATTGTATCCAAAAATGTAAACAAACCATAAAAATAGTTTGTTATTGTATTCAAAAATGTAAATAAAAACGTTAATTAACTATAAAAAAATTCATTGGTTATAAAAATGTATAAAGTATTTTATAATATAAATAAAGAAATTTTAATTAATTTGATAATTTTATTTATAAACAATAGCCATAAGGAATAGTTTGGTATACATCATGTGATTGTACTATTATACGTTTATCGGATACTGCTTGATATTTTTTATTAAATACTGCTGTGTTAATGTTATGAAATTTATCGCATCTAAATTGTTGTTGTGGTACTTGACGACTATCATAAATACCTCTACTGTATTTATCAGCAATATCTACTACTGTATAATAATTAACAATATGTTTAGCTTTTTCTGTTATTGCTAAACCTTTAACTTTCAATTTGTTTATTTCATTACCATTTGGTAACACGACTTTGTAACCATAGTTTTTTGGACCGCACGATACAAACTCCTTGATGTACGCTTCACTTCCAAAGTCTTTTTCTATTTCATCTGTAAGTTGACCCAAAAAATTACCAACTGTTGGTACACTCCAGTTTTGTGACGCGTTGTGTTTGAAGATAACAGAGTCGGTGTCAAAATATAATACACGTCCGTCAGCTTCTGATTCAATTGAATGTAGTATACTATACAGATGTAGTCTAGCGTAAGCAGTTACCATGGCAGCCAATGCCACTGATGTGTTACCAGGCTTTGATAAGATGTCGTCAACTAACTTATAGTTAACTATAAGTTTTTCACTATTGGGATGTACTTCACCTATTTATCAAATAATATAATTATTAATATATTAAATAATAACTAATTATAATATAATACCTGTTATTTTATACTTTGCATCAGTTAGCAAACTATAATAGTCATTATAATTTGAACATATTTTAACTTGACCCTGATTAGATAATTGGGCCAATTTTCCCCATAAACTATTGAGCATTAACTTAGATATTGTGCGCAAACCAGAGTTTTTAACCATATTATTGACATCTAATTCAACGTCTATATTAAAATATATTTATTAATTAAATATATCAAATAAATAAACAACATTTACCTTCTATTTCTTTAAATTCGCTGACAAAAGTATTTTTTTGCTCTTCAGTTACGCAATTGTCTGGCCATCCCGATGCCTCAGTTTTAATTTTTAAAAAAGTTTTAATATACGGAGAAAATATTTCACTTGATTTTTCTTCGTAATTTAATACTTCAATAATTAAATCAATTTTGTAACCAAAGTTTAATGCACATTTAAGCTCTTCGCTAAACCACGTGCCAACTAACATCCGTTCACAATCTGAATGTACACAATAAACATCTGATTTCGATTCTAAACAAGTCTTACATAATGGAAAATAAAGTTTTCCATTATATCTTACAGGAAGTATTGGAATATATAACTGTTTTGGCGGAATTACGCGGCACTTAATAAATCCAAAATAATTATCAATTGAAGTATTAATAAAATCGGTTAAAACTGACGGGTGTCCAATAGGAAATAACCGTTTCGATAAGACATACGGGTAAAGACTAGTGACATCTAAATACATTATTTTTTCATTTTGATTATTACATTTATAATTAAAGTATAAATTGTTAGTCCGGCCACCAAAAAACGCTTCTCTAATGTTTATTGGCTTGTATTTTTTCAATGACTTGTAAACTAATTGTCTGTTATTGACAAAGTCTGATATATTTTGTGGTAGACTTTCGAGTAAATCTTTGAACTGATGTCCCCATATTTGGACAACATTATAGCCACATCGCTGATAATATGAGAGCTTAAATAAATAAATACAAATTAATTTCAAAATAATAATTATATAACTAATTAATTACCTTTTTTATTGTCTCGTCATATACTTCATCATATGATTTACGTCCTACACCGCGAGAAGCGTTTCTTATTTCTCCGTTAAAGCAAACATGACATCCATGCCAATAACACCCCCAATATTCATACACAGTGTTGGTTTCGTGACAGAAACCATCAGCAAATTCATTACCTAATTTCACTTCTCGAGCAATTTTTTTATTGATTTCATATTCTTTTAAATCTAGCCATACATTTCCGGATATTGATTTATTTCGGCGATTACTGTATCCTTCAAGTGGCGTCACTCCAATTATATTTTCTTGTAATACTTGTGTTCTAAAGTATTCCAATCCAACACCAGCTAAAGTAAACTTTCGAGTAATTGGATCTAATCCGGTGATATCTTTAAATAATTTGCGGAACTCCATTAAAGCCATAGTTAATATTTTGACGTCATTTTGACAATATTTAACTATTTCATGTTTAAAGTCCCATTGTTGACCTGATTGTATGTACTCTTCGTGCCATTTTTGACATGAATCAGCATTTGATGGTGACATGTGATCAATACCAAAATACTTAATATCAGGTATTCTACCTATGTATTGTGTTGGTATAAATTCTTCAGTGGGTTCAGTATTAAATAAATGAGGAAAATATCCTTTTGTGACAACGCTTTCAAATCCAAATGATTTCGGTAGCGATGCTAATGGTTGTTGAAACAAACACAAAGAGTCAATAAACTCAATATTGTAGTAAACCATTTTCAATATTTTCATTCCAGTCATAATAAGTTCGGGTTGTTTTTTCTTGTAATTAGAGTTAATTAATTCTTGCAATAAAAAATGACTATCATAGCCTTTAGCATTGTGTGCGAAAACATAAACTTTTGCATTGTTGTGTGAGTCAGCTGTTTGTGATAAGGATATTAGATAATCAAAAAACGACTTAACGCAACTTTTGTTCTGAAAAACATGTTGACCTAAACCACATGTATTGCAATTATTTGTTGATTTTTGACGTGAATTTACATCCCAACAGTTATCGCAAACACATTCTGATAATAAATAATGAAATTATTTAAAGTATTTTATATATTTATTTATTAAAAATTACCTGAAATTAGTAACATTGGTTGGTGTTTACTTATGTTATCCGTTACCACAAGACTTGATTCGATATCATAACAAACTATAAATTTAATTTTGTCGTCTTCTTTCTTAAGTTTATCATGATTTAAAGGATTAATCATACAATTGTGTTGAGTCCATGAATTGTATTTGACACCACAATTGCGACACTTGAGATAGTTGCATTGATGTTTATTGATTTTGTCCACTTTATACCAAACATCGCAGTGTTGACATTGTTTTCTCTCAAGACATATATTGTTGTTTATATGTTTATCATAGCAAATATTTCCATTGAATGTTTTTTTACATACATCGCACTCGATTAACTGATCTATTGCTACTTTATCACATTTAACATTTGATCCACATAATGTACAATTTGTACATTTGTGATCAATTACATGATGTCTTGTATGACATTGATTGCAAACTTTTGTGTCATTTCTGTATGCATTAATGTTTTTAATAAAATTGTAATGACCAACTTTATTGAGTATAATATACTCAAGCCATATCTCATTGTCGGTGATTATATCTTCAGACTGATAAATAATGTTTTCATCATCAGAGGCATCAATAATCATAAGTTTATAAGGACCGATATTATTTAAATACTGTTGAATAACAGGAAAGTTATTAGCTTTTAGCGGTTGGCTGTAGTCTAAATTAGCGTTGAATTGACGATTTATTTTTACCACAAGATCTTGAGCTCCATTACGCTGTGGTAAATCTCCATAACTTTGACCAATTAATCTTTTCCACTCTTGATTGTTATGAAGTCTTGAAGTATTAAAACCCATTGCAAACCATTGAATACCCACATAAATAGCTCTATATCCGCAGCTATTATCTATATTGGTATTAATAAAAATTTAATAAAGTAATTATTATATAATAAAAATACATACCACTATTGTTAATTGAGACCACAGAGCGCTTTCTAATGCTTTTTGGATTGTTGTCTCTGGAGCTTTAGTTTTGCGTCCACTTCCCTTAAGCGTTTCCGTTACATATAAAGTAATATCAAAATTACCCATATAAAATGTTTGATTCGATTGAGCAATTTTGCTAATCAAACTCAGCGGTTCGTGTCGATCAAAGTTTTCAATTTTTCGGTTACCTTAAAATTAATGTTTTAATTAATATCAATTTTATTATAATTATTTAAATTACCGATAAATATTGGTTTGTTGAGGTCTTCATTTGACATAATTAATGTAAAGAAATCTTCACCAGAATGTTTTTGAAATATCGGTAAACAAACATCAGCAATGGCTTCCGAAAACTCTTCTTCAATATCGTTAAATCCATTCAAATCTCTTAAATTGTGGTTAAATTTAATTCGCTGAGTGTACTGTTTGCGCTTGAATTTGTCATAAGATTGGATTTGCGGTTGACGGTTAAATGAATATAGTAATTGACCTTGTGGTTCATTATTAGTCATCAGATCTTCTTCATCTTCATTTCGAGGGTCAGGAGCTCCGGAAATCATTGCTTCATTATCATCATGAGAGTGTTCACCGCCATATTGTGTATTGACTGATATATATATAATTATTAAAAATTTATAATTATTATTTAATATTTAATTACCTCTGGGATCCGGTTCAGCATCTGAATGTTGTGAAACATTATTCATGTAAGTACCATTGCTGTCATCTAATCGAGGGTCAACACCGTTATTGCTATCAAAGCTTTCATTTCCGCCATTTTCTTTGTTATTGTTTTGAGCGACAAAATCATCATTTCCGCCATTTTCTTTGTTATTGTTTTGAGCGCCAAAATCATCATTTCCGCCATTTTCATTGTTATTGTTTTGAACATCAATACCATCATTTGTGTCTTGTTTCGCACTTTTTAGCCACTCGTTAACTTTAGCACCTACAGGCATTGTACTTAATGAGTCTAATGCCTGACCCCATGACATACCATCTGGTATGTCGTCTACGTGTTGACTTAACAACTGAAACACTAAATAAAAAATAATTAGTTAATTATTATATAATTATAAAATTATCTGCTTACATTCACCCATACGGCGCTTATTACTTGTATTGACATCAGATGCTGATCGTTTCGACATAATTACAATAACAGTCAATTAAAACTCAAACAATTATTATCAAAAAGTAATATTAATAATAGTTGATGTGAACACTACAAGAGCACAAAAACAAATGTGTAGTTCAAGTTCAAGTGCAGCTTATATATTGAAACCTGTTATTGACATTGACATTGACTGCCCAGTAAACAAAATACATCTACATTTTTTATTATTGTAATGCTTGTTGTTAGAGAGCTACATGTATATTATTAGTATATTGTAATTTTTTAATATAAATAATATATAAGCTAAATATTACTTAATTATAATTTTTAAATTAGGTAATTATGAATACAGTAAAAATTCAAGCAAAACATTTATGTTTCAAACATCCATTTACTTGTATGACGGCAGGTCCTACAAGTAGCGGGAAAACTGTACTAATACGCAATTTACTAGAACATTACAGGAAAACATTATATTTTGAAACTACACCTACAGTGTTAAAAGTCATGTGGGCTTACGGTCAGTGGCAAAACTTGTATGAAAAACCTATAAATAATTGTGACGTAAAATATATAGAAGGGCTACCTTCCGAAGATGACGTCAAAGAGTATGGACCTCATATTATTATAGTTGATGATCTTATGACAGAGTTAGGCAATAACATTACATTAGCAAATTTATTCACTAAAGGGAGCCACCATTTAAATATAAGTGTTGTTTTTATTGCACAAAATATTTTCCACCAGGGGTCGCAAATGAGAACAATTAGCATAAATTGTCATTATTTGATACTTTTGAAAAATCCCAGAGATAAGCGACAAATAATATCATTGGCTTCACAAATATATCCAAATAAATCTAAATTTTTAATTGATGCTTATAATGATGCAACATCTATACAATATGGTTATATAAGAGTTGACTTAAAACAAGACACTCCAGAAAAATATAGAATACAGACAAATATAATACCTGTAGATAATATATTGGCTCCTATTGCTTATGTACCTAAATAATGTCTGAAAATTTAAAAAAGTATTGTCATGACTTGAAATTTATTGCTAAATTACAGTCACCTAAAGCACAAAAATCTATATTAAAATATATGTCCCGCGACCGTAATTTTTATTTAGCACTTAAAGAAATAGTCGTAAATATTATAAAAGGTAATATAGTATTGGATAAAATTAATGCATCTAAAATACTTAAACATAAAAAATTGTTTAATAAATTTAATAAACCTAATAAAATATCAGTGTCAAAAAAGTTGGTTGTGCAAAGCGGCGGTTGGTTGTGGTTAATACCAATAGTCACGTCAATTATTGATTTAATTACATAATGTCATTTCGAAAAATTCAATTATTATCAGATAGTGATCCTATTACTGAAACTAAACTTAATAAAGTAATAGAAACTATACCCCCTAAAACAGAAAATAATATAAGTGAAAATTTTTTAAAAATAATTGAAGATATTGTACAAAAAATTTTATTAAAAAAGTCTTATAAAACATCTGTTAAATCAATAGTAAAAAATACAATATCTAAAGTGAACCCTACATTATCAAAAAACAAAAAATCTATTAAAAATAAATTTATTAGTAAACTCAAACCTACTAAACATTTAAAAAAAGTTATACCAAATAAATCTGTAGATAATTGGTATAAGTTATGATCGATCAAATACTATCAAAAATTTATTATAATACTAAGCATAATGCATCATTTAGTTCAATTAATAAATTATTTATAGCTGCTAATAAAATAGATAGTAGTATAACTCTAAAAGATGTAAAAAATTGGTTATCTAAACAATTAACATATACACTTCATAAGCCAGTGATCAAAAACTTTAAACGTAATCGTATAGTAGTTAAACATATTAATCAGCAATGGGAGGCTGATTTGGTTGATATGAAAGAATTTAGCGGTACTAATAAACACTATACATATTTATTAACTGTTATTGATTGTTTTAGTAAATATGCTTATGCAATACCGCTAAAAAATAAAAATGCAAAAACAATAACTAGTGTTTTTACAAATATTTTTAAAAAACAAAAACCTTTAGCTTTAAGAACAGATAAAGGTAAAGAGTTTATTAATAGCGATTTACAAAAATTACTGAAAGAGCTAAACATTAACTACTTCACATCTAATGATCATCGAATTAAATGTGCTATTGTTGAGCGTTTTAACCGTACACTTAAAACACGTATGTTTAAGTATTTTACTGCCAAAGGTACACGTAAATATATTGACGTCATTAAGGATTTTGTTGACACATATAATTCATCATATCATCGATCAATTAAAATGCGCCCAATAGATGTCTCTACTACTAATGAAAAACTTGTGTATAACAACCTGTTCTCTAAAACTAAATTAACCCCAAACAAAATAAATACTGGTGATAAAGTAAGACGAGTATATGACATGAAAGCATTTGATAAAGGATATTACCCTAGTTGGACAGACCAAATATTTACTGTTGAAAATACTATAAAAGGTGATAAACAGTATGTTTTTAAGCTAAGAGATGAACAGGGAAATATACTTGAGCAGCGCTTTTATCCCCAGGAATTGCAACAAATTACTGATAATCTGTACAGAATTGAAAAAGTTATTAAAAAACGTAAACGCCGTGGAAAAACTGAATACTTTGTAAAGTGGTTAAACTATCCGGAAAGCTATAATAGTTGGACAGATAATATTGAAAATGTTTCGTAACAAAAAAGTTTGTCCATCAGACTTAATATTATTTTCAATACAAGTATTTTTAATAACATTAGTAATTGTCGTTAGTTTAGTTAATCTATCATTTGATTTCGGCAATAAAAATTTGTGGACAATCATATTGACCAGCGCATTGGGATATATATTACCTAATCCAAGATTACGTATTTGCAATAAAGTTATAAAAGATGTCACAAATAACGATTTGTAAAATAATATCTATTTTAATAACTTTATTAATTATTGTTTTAGTTTTAATTATTTTTTTATATAATAATAAAATTCATCAATCCAAGTGGAATTGTACAAAATTAAATTATACTATAATTTGTGAATAAAATGAGTTCATATATTACTTTGAGTTCTAATGTTAGTACCGGTGACAATACATTAAGCGATTTCCGAACTAAATTAGGAGCTGTAATGAAATTTGATCCCCAAAATGATTTATTGACAAGTATACCAAAATATACTGATTGGTTAGTTGGTATAACAGAAATATCATATACAAAATCATGGTATAATATTTTAAATGACTATAAAGTATCTCTATATGATGAGATGGGTAATATCTACAATAATGACTCCAATATTTATACAATTAAAGCCGGTTTTTATGAACGACCATCAAATTTAATTAGTGAAATAAATAGTATATTTGCTAAATTTAAAGGAATTGTACCTCCAAAACTGATATATAATGAATTAAATAATTACGTAACATTAATATGTGGGAAACTTGAAGACTCTGTTAGAGTATTTGTTAACTTGGGTGATGAGATTGAATGTTTGTTAGGACTTAAAAATAGAAATAATTACTATAATTATTATAATACTGAAAATGCAATTAATGATTATACAGTTAATAATGTATATACAAATGATGAAGTGAAAGCTCATCATCCAGTAGAAATATCTGGTGGATATCATTTATTATACTTATACACAGATATTGTATATCCATCTCTTGTTGGTGACACATTTGCACCATTGCTACGTGTAGTTGAAATACCACGTAAATCTAAATTTGGTGATACAGTGCACTTAAATTATGAGACACCACAATACAGACCCGTTAGACTAAATCAATTTGACACAATTAAAATCTATATAAGAGACGACAGTGGAAGACCTATACCTATTTAAATTCGGTAGAGTTACATTAACTTTACATATTAAAAAAGTATAAAAGATGGATAACCCATACATTGATTATTATAAATCGCAAGCCGGTAACGGTATAGTAGTATATAGTGGTCACAGATATCAAGGTGGTAATGGTATATTTGGTAAAATTTTTAAACACATACAACCAGCACTAAAATATATAGCAAAACAAGGTTGGGAAGCATTTCAAGGTATAGGTAGTGAAGTATTAAGAGGTAAATCACTAGGTGACGCCAGTAAAAACCAATTACTTAAAACTGCTGATACAGTACTCAGTGACGTAAGTGATAAACTCAGTACAATGAAACGTCAAAGAGGTATGGGTATTAGAAGAAGGAGACGCAAGCGCAGAATAAATAAATCTAAACGCAAAGTCACTAAAAAAGTATATAAAAGACGTAAACGTAGTCGTAAATCAGGAAGAAAACCAACACTAATATAATGACTACTATTCATCCATTGTCGTCTTTAATGACTTTACCGGAGTTGGATATATTTGGTGTCCCTCCAACTCAATTAATGATTGAAAAAGATATACAAACAGATCACAGACCGCTAACTACAATAAAAGCTGATTCACCCATTGAATTTGAAATAACTACTGGAATCAATGAATATATCAATTTAAATAAATCTGAATTGTACCTATGTTTGCAAATTGAGTTAACTAAAACTGAATCACCCGATATTACGGCTGACGATTGGAAAAAAATATCACCCGTTAATTATTTATTAAACTCATTTATAAAACAAATAGATGTAAAAATAGGTCAAACAACTATCACCAGTTCATCTATAAATTATCCATATATTGCTTATTTTGATGCATTACTTAATACATCTTCTCAATCAAAGTCAACACATATGCAAACATCAATGTGGGTTAAAGATAGTTACCCATTTAATGATCATAACTTAGAGCGACAAAAACGGTTATCACCAAAAGGTAAAAAACTAGCAGTTAGCCGTCATATTGAATTGTATGGAAAATTACATTTGGATTTATCTCAACAATTAAAATCACTAATAGGTGGTGTAACTATTAATATAAAAATACATCCAAACTCTCCCGATTTCTACTTAATGTATGATAAATCTATTGTTCCAAAAGTTAACATTATAGATACTAGA